TGACACTGAGAACAGGAAGATCTCTGGACTTTTCAATTTAGGAGTTTTCAAAGAAGTATCCACATGCCCGAAGGGTAAATTTCCCATTGGCCTAAAAATGGTCTACGATATCAAACTCGATGGCACAAAGAAAGCTAGACTTGTCACACAAGGGTTTACTCAATGGCCTGAGGACTATGGGAATGTCCATGCACCAGTCACCAGAATGGTATCCTATTGAATTTCATGGCCTGGACTGCTCACATGGATCTCAAACTATATTGCTTTGATGTTAAACAGGCCTTTTTGAATGCACCTCTCGCTGAAGAAATATATGTCAAACAAATTCCAGGCCGACCAATTACCACCCAACCTGACGCGGTATACTGTTTACGACGAGCGCTCTATGGCCTTCACCAAGCTTCAGCAGCTTGGTACTCCACGCTCTGTAAAGCGCTAGATGACATTGGCTTAAAGAGACATGAATGTGATAATGCAGTCTTCATCGGCCGCTGGACAACACCACCCGACTTGTCTATCAAGATGCCCACTAATGGTGATCTGCTTGTGATACCTGTTCATGTCGATGACGGCTTGGTCTCCACGAATTCTACTGCACTCTATCTCTGGTTTATTCATCAAATTAATTGTCGCTTCAAAGTGGTCGATTTAGGCCCGACTTCAACTTTCCTTGGAATTTGAATATATTGTGATCGCACCTGACGTCTGTTATGGCTCTCACAGGAATCATATGTTGAGGATCTTCTAGACCAATACGGATTAACTGAATGTATCATTCATGACCTTCCACTCCGATACAAATTCAATGGGCCCGATCCTAACCCCTCTCTGTATGCTGATGTTGATACTGAATCTCTCACGAAGATCTATCAAGCACTAGTTGGCTGTCTCCTTTTCCTCGCACTCTGTACTCGACCCAATATTGCATATACTGTCATGTTTCTCACTCAATTCAATTCGAAACCATCCCCTCAACACCTTATTGCAGCTAAAGGAACTCTCCAATACCTGGCAAAAACGTGTACTTGGGCCCTACAATATGGGGGTGATCATCGGACTGATCTCCTCAACACTCTCGGAATCAAATCTGATATGATCGCTCTTTCTGACACCGACTGGGGTAGCAATGCCATAGATCGCAAATCAATATCGGGCTTTGGGATTTTCCTATTTGGTGGTTTAGTTGCTTGGTCAGCCTCGAAACAGAAAAGCATTGCCCTATCATCAAACAAAATGGAATACATGGGCTTAACACATGTACTGAAAGAATTATTGTGGATTTGGGTATTTACTTCCTTAATTTCACTTCCTATTCTCAATCCCTTTCCTTTAATTTCTGATAATCGATCTTCCATTGACATTGCAAATTCACGTTCTGTATCCAACCATTCTAAACATATCGATATCCGCTATCACTTTATCCATTCTCATATTGAAGATGATACAATTTCCACCATTTGGTGTTCTTCACTTGATATGATTGCTGACATCTTCACCAAATCACTACCAGATCTGCACTACAAGCATTCCCTATCCCTTGGTCTAGTACCACTACCAGCTATTACATGACCACTTCATTCATCGGTGGGGGTGTGTTGGAAGGCATTCTCTTCCATTCATTCCGCTCCCACGTGACTCAGACTACTTAGTTCACTCTTCACACGCCCCTTCCCCTCAGCTGTTTTCTACCTCATCGGTTCAACGCTGAGGGTAAGTTTCTTTTGTCTCATTATACCTACACTACATTACTCACAAACTAGATAGTCTTATTCAATCTTCATATAGGTATAATATTAGCAGTTTTCTACCTCATCGGTTCAACACTGAGGTCTTATTCAATCTTTGTATAGATACTCGACCTCTAAGACATGGTTTGCCTCAACGTTAGCTGACTGCTGCCGCTCTTCTTCCCTTCTTTGGTTCTATCATAAAAGTCAGACGATGAAAGGACGACCACTTGGCAAGAGAAAACGGCCTTAACCCAGAGCTCAAAGTCACTGACCCTATACAAGTTTCTAATACCATTTAATTAAGTCTAAGTATTTTCATGCAACAAATATGATCAGCACATACAACAGTTGAAATATGCTTGCAATTTCTTCTTGCAATTTCTTCTAGGGATGACATGTAAAGTTGAACGAATGCCGATAGCAAATGCACACGCAACGTCAGGTTCCCCACCGATATGCGCGGAAGAGAACAAGCACAGTTTGAGGGTGGGAAAGAGGTAGTGGACTATATGGCAGTCGAACCTTTGAAGATTCAAAGAGGATAGTTCGTAACGGACAATGTGCTCAAGGACCTTCTCTATGATATGAAGAACAGAGAGAGCTGCGCGAGTCCAGGATTAGGGACTTGGCTGCTGGCGCAGGAAAACGGAGATAAGAATGGATGACGTAGGAGCGTTAAGTGATATCCATAACAAGAGCTGCTTTTGTGTGAGCAGAGATACTGGAGTAAACTCGGGGCTAAGCCCTTCGAATATCAAAGCGAAAGAGTGGTACGAGTGGCGATAAGTGGCGATAAGTGGCAATGGGACTAGGAAGGAGTTGTGGAAGAGATGCAAGAAACGAACCGCTGACGGGATGTGAAGGACTCTCTTTCGATATATACCAGGACGGTACTGTGTTCATCTGTGCTAATTGACCACCTCGCGTCCTCGCGTCTCCGAACTGTCCGGCTCTGCGACTGTCCTGGGAGTCCCATCGGCGCATACGCTCTCACCTGGAGCAGCAAAAAATGACTGATGATACTGATATTGAGATAGATTATGGACTTTCGATCGAAGGATGGAGAGAGCGAGGTTAAGAATGTAGGCGTGCCCGATCCTTTTGGGTCAAAAGACGTACAGACGCTTGTTTTGATCAACGGTCGTCGCGCCAGTGGGATATTTTTCCCCACTCTCGTCTTGACTCCGAAATGGTATCCTGTAGCGGTCGAATCAACTGTCCCTCTCCTCATGAGGCAGTAAATCTCTTATGACTTGCACCGACCTAAAATGACTAGGGAATGAACATCCTTGTAGTTAGTGCCTCTGAGCCTAGGTTTAACTTAAAATTGAGTTGGAGTCAGGGCGTTAGTGCGTGGCATCAATGCTGGTAAGAGTCGAAAGCAATTATAGGTGATCAAGTCGAGGCGTTAAGAGCGTGGCAGTGAATAAGTATCTGTGTGAGAGATGTCCAGCCTGCCTATGTCGACACGGTTGGTGATTATGAAGCGGACGTAGAAATTTGAGGCCGTTAGAGTCTGAGTGTCAGCATCAGAAAAGGAATAGTCAACTTATAAACAAGACTAAGACGTACACAGAGATCGTATCTTTCGATACAGGCCGAGAAGGCACCGTTTTTTTTTTGTTGTGTTGATTTGGAAGTTCCTCGAGCTCCTGTAGCGTATATATGGAATATCGAAAATAAAAAGAGATCCGCCCAAGGATTCCTCTCGGTGCTCCATTACTTGGTGTTAAATTCATTCTTACCTAGCTCTTACCAAACATTTGCATTCACATCTGAGACTCCTTTGTCTGACTCTCGGGAGGCCGCCCAAGTACAGAGACACCCTTCGAAATGTGGGCTTTAGGGATTATCGGTATTGTCGCACCTCCATACATTGTACAATTACTGAGCAAAGGATGGTCGGCTAGAGATGAGGCCGAATTCGGGACATGGGATGCCTAATATGGCAGTGGCTTAAGATTCCCACATGCCGGAAAACATTCGGCACGGTGTTCGGAAGTTCAGCAGACACGTAGTGCTATAGCTGAGACTTAAGGACTAGATACTAGCTATCGGCGGTACATTTATGATTTTAAACGACTTCGAGGTTGAGGCAAGTCTGGACCAGATCCGCTTTTTGTGTCCGAACTGCATCAGGGACGATGAATCCTCTGAGTCCAACACAAGAATACCTGATGCATTCTGAGTGAACGCCGAGTAGCGGGGCGTCTCATCTGAGTCAGCGACACAAGCCTCTGGCAGCGTTGCGCACCTAGACTCTATCAGTCCATACAAAGCCTTGGCTAGCCGTATGAAGGCGATATTCCACCCGAATCGGGTATACACCCGAATCTGATATGCAAGTTTCGAGCCCAAGAGATAAACCCTAAATGAAGATAGTTTTGGGGCAATGGGGGTATGACCAAAACCTGCCGACATCTGTTTGAAGAGCTCTGCACCTTCAAAATCACCGTTCAAACCGGCCTAAAACCTATTAACATACCGGCCTCGCGATTACTTCATCCGGTAATCTAGGGGTAATCTCTTGTTTCCGAACAGCGACGGTGCAAAGCTAGGGGTAATTGATGATCTACTAGCTCTACACGACAAAACTTCTCAGAAATCGCATTCAATTCCTCCGAGTCCCTCCTAAAAGAACCTCAGAGCCTCGAGATCAAATATCGGTTGACAGGAGCGAGACGTCCATACCTTGAAATACACCTCAAATCAGATTGAAAGGCGCACTGACGCTGATTGCTCCTCTTGATCATATCCTCGCGCCTCAAAGGTGTCATCCGCGGCGACCCCGTTGGACGTATGTCAGTCCCGGGTTTCCATGCTCCTGCTCTTAAACATGTGCCTTGTTTATGAGATTTCACTCACTTGAGGTCCCTAAAACACCTCGGACGTTTTCCTGTGCATCTGACCTCCACCTCCTCCTCGAAAGTCTACTCGACTCTCACAAATTCTGTTGCCATTTGACCGCCGCTGGTAGTACAATGTCGGTTATTCCCTCACGAATATTAGGCTGCCGATGCGGCGGGCGTACAAAACATTCATGCCCGTGTAAACATAATAGCCTGGCCGATTGCTTCTTTGTGATCCATTGAACATAATACATGCCAAAATTCGGAGTAGACGGTGGTAATGCGTGTTTTGAGAATTCTTTGTCAAGTAAGCCTAAACTATATATTTCCGCACGGAATACGATTCAAAATGCAGTACGTTAAACGATCAATATACGTTCAGTACGAAACTCAATCCCTTCTCAAATGAATCTTCAGGTTTCCTTCTTCTGATATGCACAATCGCCCTAGTGTTTGGGATATTGACATCTCCCAGAAGCTCCTCAGGTGGACGTTTACCATCCGGAAAACGGAATTCGTAATTCATCAGAAGATATGCCATGAGTATCTTTAGCTCGGTAGACGCAAAGAAGCGTCCTGGACTAGAGAAATTTGAGTCAGTTGAGGATTGAGGAATTCAAGCTATTGCGACACTAGCCATGCATGAGTCCCATGTCCAAAGGGTATGTACATCGAACTTGTCGCAGTATGTTGATGCTTTGTCTTCTGGCCCTCTTGCTCACGGAGTGTGCTCCAGCGGAAGGGATCAAACTCCCTAGCATTTTCGCCATAAATTTTGGGATCTTGGTGCATCGCTCTTGCAGGACAGTTGACGAAATTGTCCTTAGGTACAAATGTTCCGTCTGAGAACGTATGATCTTGTGCGACCTTCCGGAATCCAAGAACTGTGGTCCGCCCATTAGTCTTGATAAGGGTCATATCTGTCAAGTAATAAATACTCAGTTAGATGTAAAGTAACTATATTCGGTACCTGTCAAGTAATAAATACTACGTACGTCGTGAGCATGATATATAAGGCTAACTAATATGGGGCTCACCTCAGTTAGATGTAAAGTAACTGAGGGAGCCCCGTTCGACATCCGATGGTGTGGCTGATAAACTGTACAGTGCATATGTAATCGGGCGGAAGCAAAATACGTGGTCAAAGCTGGGGACTGTGCGTACGCTGTGCGGAGGTAGAATCTAACACCCCCCCTGCTCCGCACGATACAGTCCTAGTAGTCCGACCATCTTCCCGTGGATTGGACCGCTAAGAGCTTTAGTAAACACGTCTGCTACGTTCATACCTGTTCGGATCTCTAACACTTTCACCGCCCCACTAGCTACCTTCTCCCTGATATAGTGGTCCCGTAAATCGATGTGCTTCACGAGAGCATGTCGTTTGGAGTTCTCGGTCAGGCTGATGGATCCAAAGTTGTCGCCCAGCAGTGTAACGGGTCCCTGCTGGTTCAGATCGGCCTCCGCGAGGAAGGATTGTAGCCAGACCGCCTGCTGGCAAGCCCGGGACAGGGCGATGTATTCGGCCTCCGTGGATGACAGTGCGGGTGTGGGTTGGCGTTTAGAACTCCAGGAGACGGGTGCCCCGGCCATGAAGAAGACATATCCCGATGTAGACCTGCGGGTGTCCACACATCCGGCATGGTCAGAGTCGGAGTACCCTTTTGGTTTCAGTCCTACGCCCGGCAAGTGCTCTTCACCTGCTGGAGGCGCTTCGTAGGTGATGGCGTAGTCACAGGACCACAGGAGGTATCCAGCCAGCCACTCGACGCACTCCCAGTGAGTCCTGCCGGGGTGGAGTTGGTATCTTGCTAGTAGTCCAGCGGCAAAGGAGATATCAGCGCGGGTGCATGTCTGGCACCACAGGACCGATCCCACAAATTCGCGGTATGGTTTGTCCGACATGAACTGCAGCTCATCGTCTGGGAGCGGGGTGGGTGCTTCGCAGAGTTTGACGTTGGGGGGTAGGGGTGTATGGCGGCGTCGCACGTGTAGGAGGTGGAAGTGCTCGAGCATGCGGAGGATGTAAGGCTTTTGGGAGATTGTAATGGACTTTGTTGTGGGGTTCTGCTGGATGTTCATTCCCAGCAGGACGTGGGACGATACCTCGTTCGACTCCCATCGCTTCGCCAGATCCTTTACTGCCCGTAGTCTCCCATCCTCCGTGGATGATCCTCCGCAGACGTCGTCCCCATACGTGCTGGTGAGTGTATATTCGTCGCCGTCCCGTCGGTATCGGATACAAGGGTCGGCTCTGGATGTGATGTATCCATCTTCACTGTATCCAGCTGCGAGGGTCTCTTGCCAGTCGTGGCTCCCTTGCATAGTGCCATAGATGGACTTCCTGAGTCTGCACACCTTGTCTTCGTTTCCTGGTTGAATGAATCCGTCGGGCTGTCGCATGTACACTTCGTGGGATATGGGTGAATTGAGGAATGCGGCTGTGAAGTCGATCTGGAAGAGGGAGAGCCAAAGAGTAGCTATGATTGCCAGTACGATCCGTACCGACTCCATGCGCGCGACTGCCCCGTATGTTTTGTCATAATCCTGTCCTTGGATTTGGGTATATCCCTGTGCTACCCACCGTGCTTTCCGCTTCAGTACCTCCCCTCCTGGTCCCCACTTTATGGCGTAAGTCCATCTCCCCCCGGTGAGGTTCGCGTTAGGTGGTAGATGCACCAGCTCCCAGCACTCCTTCGCGACGAGCGTTTCGTACTCGGCTTTCATGGGTGGGAGCCAAAGTTCTGGGGCCTTCATAGCCTGTTTGAAGGTAGACGGGACCCATGTATCGTTCGTCGCTGACGCGAAAGCCCATGGGTTAGCAGCAATAAGTGCGAGTGTTTGGTTGGGTGGCGGAGAATCCGTTGCCCAGTCTTCTTTGTTGGCCTGAGCCTCGTGTTCGCGCTCTGCTAGAGCCTGGTTTTCGATAGCGACACGGGAGGGGGTGCGTACACGGGCACTTCTACGTAGTGGTGGAGAGGGATCGGAGGTAGGACCGGTATCCCGTGTTTCTTCGTCTTCTTGATCCGCATGCTGTTGAGCTGTGGGTCCATTCGTGGGTGTGGTTGGTTCTAGACTGCCTGCAGGCTGGTTGCTTACCAGGTCACCGTCGTCAGTCGCCGGTGTTTCTTCCCTGGAGCGATGCGCTTCTCCTTCCTCAAATCTCACATCCCTCGACTCCAGGAAGGTGCGGCTAGGTTGGTGCCACAATCGGTACCCCCTTCGTCCCATGTAGCCTATCAGCTGGCATTCCACCGCCTGGCGCGCCAGTTTCCCCTCGGTTCTGCTCTCAGGAAGTGTAGCCCACGCTCGGCATCCAAACGGTCGCAAATGCGATACGTCCTGCCGTTTATTCGACCAGTATTCGGTGGGCACGCGGTCTGGGAATCGTGCTGTGGGCACGAAATTGTCCACATAGGTGAATGTCGCTGCGGCCTCTGCCCAGAAGGAGCGGGGAAGTCCTGATTCTTCGAGGAAGGTGCGTACACCTTCGATGACTGTCCTGTTACCTCTTTCTGCCATCCCGTTTGCAGATGAGGAGTATGGGGTTATCTTTTCAATGATAATCCCCCGGTCGGCGCAATATGCTTCCAGGAGGTTGTTATCGAATTCGCCTCCGCCGTCGACCCGTATAATCCTCATCCTCTTCCCTGTTTGGTTCTCGGCCATCACCCGGTACTTATGGAACTCTTTTAGTGACGTTTCCTTTCGCTTGTCCTTGAGGAATGCGGGGACCCGTACTGATGACGCTCCATCGGAGAAGAGCATCATGTATCTTGCCCCGCCCATGCTTGGGGTGGTGGCTGGTCCCCATAGATCGATATGTACCCTCTCAAGCACCTCTGTCTCGTGAGTGAGCTTTTCATCGAATGGTCTACGCGTTGCCTTCCCGTACAAGCAGTCGATACACATTCCGGCTAACGTTTTGGACTTGATTTGTAGCCCATCCACGAGGCCCCGACTCTCCATTCGCAGGATTCGTGGTACGGCTACGTGTGCCAGGCGCCGGTGCCAGGTGTGTATGTCGACGGCCTTCTCATGGGATCTTGCTGAGTTGGCCTGTGTCTGGTGCAGGGTCTCCACTTCGTACATCTTGGTCTTGCCTCTCCCCAGCATCGCTACCTGTCCTTCCGGCGTCTTAACGCTCAATACTCCGTCGCCCCACTCTCCTTTGAAGTTTCGCTGGTCAAGAGTTGATAGGGAGATTAAGTTGTGTCCGAATTCCGGTGTATGCTTCACGTTCGTGAGTCGGATTCGTCGCATTACCTCTCCTACTCTCGTCGTGAACTCAACGGTTCCTGTTCCATGTATCTGGAACCTTCCTGCCTCGCCTGCTAGTGCGCTGGTCCCGCTCTGCCCTTGTACTTGGCTATATTCTACAAAGTCTGATTTGCTCACCCAGCAATGTTCAGTTGCCCCGGAATCAATGAACGTTCGAGTCGACGGTGTTTTCGCAGGCGCATAGAGGAGTGTATTATTTCGGCGTGTTGTACATGCCAGTGGGCTGGGTGCTATGTAGTGTGTATGTACGTCCTCACTCCCATTCACATCCCTAGTCCCCTGATGCTCCCACCCTCTCAGAAAGGTATGATCATTGCTAACGAGGGATCTGTTAGTTAGGGATGTGCGTTGGTGGGGTGTACTGGGAGACAACGTACTGGCGCCGTCTCTGGTTGTCTTGGCTGACAAGACATATGTATCCAGTGGTGTTGCGGGCGAGGTCGTCGTGTTGGCTGTAGCAGCTACGGCGTTTCCGGGGTTCTGGTTCCTATTCGGCTCGTTGTTCTTGTTGAACCTCCAGCCGTTAGGTCCTTTACCCTCTGCTCCCCCTCCCTTCGCCCAGCACTTTTGGATAGTGTGGCCGATTTTCTTACAGTTCGGGTTCGCGCACGTCGGCCTGTTTTTGTCTGGAGCCTGGGCGCTTGCTACGTGCATCGCGAGTAGTGCCTTTACTTTCTTCTCCTCTCGCTCTTCCTCCGTTCGTCTCTTTTCCTTTTGTAACCAGATACCTTGGAGGTAGATGAATGCTTCGCTGCTTGTCTTTCCGGGGAGGTGCCTGATGTCAGCATCCCAGTCTTTCGGGAGTGACGCAAGAACAATCACTCGGAACTGGCCGTCTGTTATCACTGCGCCGGCATTCGTAGCCCTTCTGAGTAGATTTCGCATAGTCCTTTTGTGTTCTTCCATCGTCTCTTCGGGGTAAGCATATCGGTGAGCTCGGAGGTTACTATCGTGGAATAGTAATAGCTCTTCCGATTTTTGTTCGAATTGGTTGACGAGTTCCTGCCAGATTGCGGACGCCATTTCGGTATAGTCTACCCCTAGTCCTGTGGGGTCGATAATATTTGATACTATCGTGCTCGCTACGTATCGGTCTCGGGCGTACCATTCCTCAGGTGAGGGCGTCTGGCTGTATGGTGGTGTTGTTACTGTGGGAGTAGTTGTGGTTCCTTCTGGCGAAGTGACGGTTACCGCAGGTTTCCCGTCGCTGGGTTTGGCAATCGTTCCGTGTAGGTACCCTTGTAGTCCTTTCGATTCTACTGCGAGACTAACTTCCCTTTTGTAGGGCCACCAGTTATCCTCCCCTTCGAGGGCTATGCCTGTGGGGAATCGTTGGACATTCGGCATGTTTGATGACGATGACATCGTGGAACTGGGTGGTTCGGAGGCTTGGTGTGTATATGTAGTTGCTCTTTTTAGAGTACCAGTCTCATAATCTGTCAAGTAATAAATACTCAGTTAGATGTAAAGTAACTATATTCGGTACCTGTCAAGTAATAAATACTACGTACGTCGTGAGCATGATATATAAGGCTAACTAATATGGGGCTCACCTCAGTTAGATGTAAAGTAACTGAGGGAGCCCCGTTCGACATCCGATGGTGTGGCTGATAAACTGTACAGTGCATATGTAATCGGGCGGAAGCAAAATACGTGGTCAAAGCTGGGGACTGTGCGTACGCTGTGCGGAGGTAGAATCTAACAATATCATGCGGACTTGCCTCCACCGATACTAAGTCGGACCGACTCCTTCAAAAGACTATCCAATTTAAGACATTTTTGCAGCGCCGTCTTTGACCAGCCCTCTCGTTGGACCACTGTTTGGACTTCCTGGCGTATTGGTTCGGAAAATTGTGGAGCTGCACAGAGGTCAAAGAGGACGTTCATGAAGCTCTACCATTGACAAATTATTGACTGATTCTAGTGACTTAATTCAGAGCACCTACCATCGATGTAGTCCCGAGCGAAACAAAGTTCACAAACGCAATTCGCATGGCCAGCTTCTCGGTGTCTGTTTCTATTCCCTGGGATAAAAACCAGTCGACGAGGGTGATCTTATGACGGCCATGTTGTTGATGAAACAGGAGAATGGGAGTCAAAAGTACTTACCTGTTTTGGATCACTGTCCATGTCTTTGACCACTTGACGGCGTTCATCAATAATCGGTCCCAAGTATTTTAAGGCAGTTCTCAACGTGGAACGAATGTTGGTCAGGAAAACAGAAGCTAAACTGAAATTCTGATGAGCAGCGAAATCATTAAAGAGAAGAGGCTTACGGTTTCAGGAACTTCAGAAACACTCGAACAACAGCAGCGTCCTTGATGACATTGGTGGCAAATACTCTCATAAGAGCTAGATATTCCTCGTCGTGACAGAGAGGTAGACCAACAAAGACACGGTTGAGCATACGATTGATTGTGTATGTGAAGACATCAGCGGCTCTGATAGGGACCCACTCATCGGTATCAGTAGGCAGCTTCTCGGCGAGTACTGTCTTTACTTCATCAAACATATCTGGAAAAAGTTCAGACAAATTATGTGTGAGATGCGTCCTGATGTAGTTGATATGGTATGGATTTGCGACAATATCACCCCCAAAGGTCCACTCTGCCTGGAACAACTGGACGTTCATATTCTTAAGTCAGAAATTGTTACATCCCCATATTGGTAGAGAATCTTACATCTTTAGCTGCAGCCTCTCCATTCATGAGGCTGTCAGGAGCTTTCATAACCTCTTCGACAAGCCGTGGCCCCGATGCAAAAACTGTCCAACGGTCCGATTCCGCAACTTTGAAGATGTGGCCTTTGTGTTGATGATAGCCCTCTTGGACAATGCGCATACTGTTGGTGAGATAGCGTCGGGCAGACAAGTAGGATCCAAAGATGTTCCCTGGGCCCATGGTAGGTGCATCAACCTAAAGAACCGAGTTCAGTCAACGACAAACTACGGGATATACAGTTTCAGCTCACCCAAGTGCGCCTGTAATTTTGCCATGCTCTGACAGCAGCTGTGGTGGCTATCAATAGGAACAATATGCCTACCATACGCGCGATGGATGAGACCTGGAGGTAGACATCCTGAACAAGTAAATCCCCATGCATCATGATGAAGGACATTTTAGAAATGCAATTTCCGTTCAGTCCTCTCTATATATAAGTATTAGGGTATCGGGAAGCATATATGGCCCTGTTAATCAGCACTCAGGCTAATCGGAAACATCAGTGCTTTTCATGAGCACAACTTCGGCAGAAAATTGAAATTGGAGTGTCAATGAGTCCCTACTACTAGGCAATTGTTGAATAGATGATTTAGAGAGATCATTGAGTTCCAGTGCAATTATTTCGGCTAATCGCCTACTTACCTGTGTACTTCCACTAACTGCAGCATCAAATATGGCCATTATTGTCCAACTCGTTCCTAACCAATGCAGTTATCTTCAAAATCCACAGTGGAATTGGGCAGGTGAAATCTGCCTTTGTAGATAATCCTTGGCTCAACACACTGGCAGCAGGACACAGTGTTCCTCCAGCCTCAGAGATGTTACAAAAACCTTGTCTGAGAAGCTTTCCTCAATTGTGAAAGTTCTCCTTCTTCAAGTTTCACCGTTTCACTGGCCAAATCATACATACTTGCACATAGTGGTGCGCGGTACTGATGTGGGAATGGTAAACAAGAATGGATGCTGATAAGTAGAGGGAGATGATATTCAAATACTGACAATTTCAGTAGCACGGGTGGCGTGAACAGCGGGAAAGTGATGAATTAGGTAGAACGGAAGTAACAATAGCACGAACACAAATACAGACCTGAACGACTTTGGATTGGTGGCCCATGATAATTTTCGGAGAACACAAAATGCAAGAGCTAGTAACCAGAGTCAAATATAGCAGTGCTGATAGCCTTCCTAGGCAAGGATGAAAGGCACTCCTGAGGAAAATTAAAACTTGTGGGTCTGCTAAGCCGAGTCAGGTAACTAAATGTTCGTGGATCTGCTAGCCTGAGTTGTGCATTTAGTTGAAGATCAATACTCGAGAAGACCGGTAGGTTAACGATTGTGATCACGGGAGAGTTGAGGGTGGGGATGGTAGGATCCTGAACCCCTTGGTGGAAAATATTCTCCTGGAAAGATGTGGACCAGAAGTTCTAGTTCCACGTTGATGAATGCATCTGAAGTGGTGGTGTAAAGCATCGTCGCACGGCGAGAAATGCCCTTAGGGAGACTGTAGTCATGAAAAAAAGCGAAAAAAAGCAATTAAATGAACACTCCAGAGCGGAAATATGGCCCAATACTGATCAAAGTTTTCCAGAGCCTCTGAGGATCTCTAGCACAACTCTTCATGTTAAGAGAAAAAGGCGAGGTGACATAACAAGTTGCCAATTTCAAGTTTGTTGTCAGCTGGGACCAGGATCGCGATGGAGCCAAAATGGAGTCTGCATCACTGTTCAACAGGATTTATGCTTGCTGATTTTATGAGCAACATAAGTGCACCATACATATACCCAGTTCCGATATATATATGTCCTTTCACAGCCTTTCACATTTCAGGATCGATCTATCTCTCGGGAAACTTGGGGAAAGTCTTTTGCCATTGATTAAATCAGTTATGCATGAATCGGACGGTCGAAATTTAGCTCACCTCACCGCCGATGTAGTATTGGAGCTTGAAGCATCTTGAAGTTGTTCTTTTCGGTTTGCGACATGGAAAAAAAGCATTAGACGCCCAGATGACTAATGATCGCTTTTGTTTTATTTCTCCTGAGGTCTATTTCGATGATTCCAACAACGGCTTCAGGCCTCCAGCATCGTCGCCACTGCCCCTCGATATTTTCCGTCCAAAAGAGGTTTCCCTCCTTTTCCCTCCCATTTCAGCACGGCGGATCCGGTCCTCCAGAAGGACATGCGATAGCAGGCCACTGCACCACCGTGCATGGCAAAAACTCGGCTCCTTTTTTGGGGGGTTATTGAATATTATGGAATCAAATAAACGGGGCGCCTTACAGGCGCCGACATTGAATGTTTTTTTAAGAATGAAATAAAAGCAAATTTACATGAATTACAGTATCTATAGAGCAACAGGGAGTAACTGAGTGAGATGCTGTGAGACGAGAAAAAATAATTGTGACAGAGTCACAGTCCCGTGATATCCCGTGCCGGTCACAAGAATTCAATACAATTCAACTCAGTGTTACATTTGGCCAAATAAGGCGAAACTACTGCCATAAAGGGAAATAATTTTTGTATGGAGTACCGTACATAAGGACGATCCTTCCGTAAACTACAGCCTCGTAATTTTGTACTCAAAAGCACAACGGAGACAATGACATCGTTTGAGCACTTCCGTCGGAGATGGTTGGAACCGTTGGGATTCAGAGTGCGGCACATCAGCTCACATCAGCGACTGATGTAAAGATGCACGTGGATTCAGAATTTCAGACTTGGTCCATCCCTGCCACTTTCCTACTTTCCCTTCCTACTTTTCCCTGCTTTTCGCTCAGAGCTGGTCTCTGCTAGTCTTTGCCTCAAGTTCTTTTCAAGCAAAACTTGCTTTCTACCTAAACCAAATGCGGTCTCCTTTTCTCAACTTTCTCGTCCTGTCCATGGCACTCAGTTTCACGAGTCTGCTCGTCAAAGCCGTCGCTCTTCCGCAATCCCGCGTGCAGTCACCTGCTCCTAAATCTGCACCAGTCATGGGATATCTTTTTTTCATGAATCAAGTTGGTGAACCCCTACGTTCTGTGAATACTCCGTTTCTATCTAATATCAACAACATAGAAGGATGCTCAAGCTTACGAGCGACTTGGTGGATTTCCCCCAAGTCTTGGAAAGTATACAAAGACTATCTATCCCGGCCCTACAAATCCGTGAGTGTTCTTGAATATGTTCTTGTTCCGATATCGATTACTGAAATTTTTTCTAGGTCTCTCTCGGACGGTGTCCGCGGGGTCAGTCGTTTTGTTTCGTTAGGTTTCGTTGCTGACAAACATCTCGAAAACATCAATAACAGTGTAAAATTCACGATACGCATGGATTGATAAATGCTGCCCGAGAACAACGTGCCCTAGTAGGAGTTGTATTACACCAGCCTTTTCTGTGCCATCTAATGCTGTTGCCAGCACTACGATTCTAGCAGAATCATTACCAAAGAGGAGCAGGAAGTCCTTGTTGGAGCTGGGCCGATACCGCCGATACTGTTCCGTGACATTCAGCTTGGAATTACGGATCCTCCGAAAGCAAACCTCGTAATGCATATACCCAGCGAGTGGATCCAGCGCTATCCTCCGACTTTGAAATGTGGTCTACTTAGTGAGTAGTTCGTGATAATCTGCGCTTTCGGGCCCTATAATAATTCCTATTATAGCGGATGCGAGGACAAGTGAGAGCAGACCCACAGTCAATTTTTTCGAGTGGGGTATCGAGGGCTTGCCCGAGAAATTCAAGAAACATTCCAACTTTTAAAGGTTTATATCTTCCACGCCGTCTTGTAGATTGGTTGACTACATTAGGAAGTACTGAAGTGCAGAATCTGAAGGAATCTGAGGGAATCTGGTGCTCCACTGCCAGTATACATAGTACTTATTCAAGTTATTGTAACTTGCCTGGAACTTCGTTTGAATTTGAGATATGCGCTGATACGCGATCGATTCTTCACTGCATTGAGGATAGGATATTTCGGATGGATGTCACAGCCTGATCACAGCCTTTGCTTTCGAAATATCAATTTATACGACAGTACCTCCGAGTATTTCTTGCTTTCGTTCGCTACAGAGCTGGTCTCTAACACTCACATTTCTGGGCTTTTGATGCTGTCTTTATCTCTTAAACTTCTCGTGATTTCTGTGATCAGTCTTACGATTTTGGTCGTGGTCAATGCTTCCCCCACCCTGAAACCGACTCATCTGACCGCTGGCCACAATGGTGAAAGCCGACTGATAGGATATCTTTTTTTTCTGCATGAAGTGAGTTTGTCAGTGCTTGCTTTGCCAGTGTACTCTCTCTAATTAATAAACTTGACTTAGAATGAAATGGATCGTTATAAACAAGATGGGAAAATCCCCGACCTGTACCTGGAAGACCAAAAAAACCCTTTCTTTCTACGCCCGATCTATTCTCATCCCGCCTCGAAAACGTGGGTGGACATTGTTTCTGAATCTTTTTACGATTGCTCAGACATCCTACTCGGGTAAACAGATACCATGTGGTCAGTCCACTTCTTTTTACAATGTAAATGTACGAACTAGCTTTCCTCCGGCAGTGTAAAGTTTTGGATACAAACCACTTGCTCGAAGGCGTCAAAGAGAAATCACTTGTCGCAAGTCTTACCCAGAAAACGCTTATTTCCATGCCATCTGACCTCTTAACCAGCACTATACCAGTAACACACTGGGGGCGCCAAATACGTTCCAGGACTACCAGCATTGTGTTGTGGTCACCCCAGTTCATCCCCTCTTGAAACAAGAACTTCAAATGGATGTTCCAAAGGCCATGTTGAAAGTCCGTCCTCCCACTGTGGATTGTTGTAAGTGGCCTTCGTAACAGTTTGTCCTCTCCACCTCTCATACGTATATATCGTAGCGGACAATGGCGACAGACCGGTTGCGAACTGGCTTGATCTAAATCTCCATCTACCGGACCAATACATAAAAGAGGTTAAGGTGAGCCTTCCATCCTTTCGATATCGGCACGCCCAGTTATAATCTTGTACTTGCTCAACAGATGCACGGGTAATTCATACTGCTCCAAGAATTTCAATCGCAGTCTTAGCTAAACATATCCACCGCCACTGCTTTGTACTCGAAATCGAACCTTATATGAATGGCAATCTGCTTACTAGTACTCAACCTCTCGAAGTTCATTATCCTCCACGAAATAGCTGGACCAACTGGGAGCAGCAGTGACAGGTTACCATGAAGGACAATCTTTTCTCTATGGTCATAAGACGGTATGGAGTAAGAGTAAAAAAGCAATAGAAAGTCCAAATGAGTGTAAGTGAGCTGTATATCAACAAAATTTTGCAAACGAGTGTATCCAAAAGGAGAGCAGACTGCTGGCAAGAAAAAGTACAATATGTCCATTCAGAGCAAAATCAACTAGCACGGCCTCCTATTCATGATTCTCTCTCTATTCGTTCGTACTCCTCCTTTTCTTTCTTATTCGGGGGAGATAGTTCAGTGACACAACACTAGACGCCAGAAGAATCTGTTTGATTCTTTCCCAAACTAGGTTTCTCGACTCCTAACTACCTGCTAGGACCAGTGCCCAGCACCGCATCCTCAAAAAATCCCTCTCCCATGTCTTTAGCTTGGGTGCCTGGACTATCAGAAGCATCGTCCGGGAAACGAACATACGAAGCGTCTGAAGAGGGAGGACGTAGCGAGGAAGGACCAGCGACGGAAGTGAAGCTCGGATTGTCTGTGTTGATAAAACCAAAAGTGGAACTGGTAGGACTACACCACGATTCGTAGTACTCGTCGTCGGTTAATTCTTCTCCGTCTAGTTCTGATTCCGACAATGGGAAACCATCCTGATCCTGTTTGCTTACTGTTTCCTTCTTTTCTTCCTTCCCCTCCTCCTTTTCCCCCTTTTCGCTCACTGGGTCTGACCCTGGGTGAGAGACGTCCGAATCAGAATCTAAGTTCGAAGTCGCAATCGCATTTCCGATATTGAGTTTGCTACGTATTTCCCTGCCAGTGGTCGTGCCATTCCCTTGTCGGCCTAGTGAGGGAAATCTGTTGAATGTCGGTCGAAACAAGCTACGCTTGCGTTTCCTAAGAGGGTACCTGATTTCCCTTGACCGCTTATCGTCCTCGTCCTGACTCCGTCGTGCGGACGCATTCGCGCGTTCTGCGTTTTCGGCAGCAATGGCGTTCGGACGTATCAGCTCATACGCGTCTTTTGCGATAGCGCGCTTCGTACGGTTACCATCGACTTGCACGGCGAATTCCCCATCAGGGCGGCTTCTACAGTCGAGCTTTGGCAACGCTGACGGCTTTTGCGGCTGTCCAACGGTTCTGAGTTCGCGACCCGACACGTATTGTGGATTGGAGCTACCTTCAGCTGCGCGAGCCTTGGAGATGGAATCATGGGACAGCGAAAGAGTGGATTGCAAGGGTAAGAGAGAGTGGGTTATAGGGGTAGTCGATGTGGCAGGGTGGGATGGGACATAGTCAGATGGTGCAGCGTGGTACAGCGAAGGTACAGAAGCACGAGGACGAGAGACTGTTTGAGAAGTGGATCTTGCAGAGGCTGGCGCTGGCGCCAAAGAGACTCGAGGAAGGACATCATCTTGACTCTTGTTTTCCTTGTCATCCAGTTCCCAATCAACCAGTGCGCGCGGCTCGTTGACGTCCTTGGCTTTCTTCTTCCCTTTCCTATCAGAAGATCCTTTATCGCCGTCTTGGTTGATCTGGGGGCGCTCGACGTTCTGAGACGGCGATGCTTGAAGGACGCTACGAAATCATGCATTATTCAATATAATAAGTGTCAAGAGGGCCTTATTCACCTTGGCTGGGATCCACCAGGGTTAGTATTTTGGAAAGAGTCAGTGAGATTGTTCTCGTCGATGTCTGGAAGGAAAAGCGGAGTCTTTACAGAACTATCGGAAGGATGATTGACATGGCCACAATAGCAGTCAGGAAATACTAACCCCCCGGTGAATATATCATTTATCGAAGGATATGAAGCGTTTCTCTCGGACATATTGGTACGAAGTTGATGATGAATTTGAATATTTAAGGATAGATAATGGAAGATAGTTTGCACCTGGCTATAATGAAGAGACAATCGATCAGCCCATTGATACATGATCGGGAGAGTGAGTGCAAAGACGTACCAAAGGAAAAAATGGAGATTGTGAATTACCCTTCAGCTATCTATCATGTCCTTTATACACCTCCCCGCAAGCCTAGCCACTCAAGAGCATATCGCTAGGCGGCCAAAGGACCGAATAAAGCAGAAACATCGTGGCCAATTTGACTTGACTGATAATTCCACCAGTGCTTCAGAGTCGTGCTCACTCAGTGTGATATCATAAAGGACCTTTGTTCATTTCCCCCAAAAAAGTAGGTCCAGTTGGAGCAAGACATAAAGGAGCGTATCCGTAGCGTCGGGAAAGCGACAAAAATGGGGGAAAAGGCAGTGAAAATTTGAAAGGTAAAGGGCTTTTTACCGCCCTTTGTCTTCGAGTATTTGGAGTACAAGACTGACCATTTTAGATCTGAATTCAGTTTTAATGCGAGATATTCAGAGAAAGCAATAACAAGACTACATGGCCAACACACCATTATACACAATCCGAGGATGATTGTAGTGAGCAGTCAGAACGCATTTGGCACGAGATTGTTTCCGTTGTTAAGACTGCATGAGGCCGCATGATAGACGAGCAGACCAGACCGTTCCAGACGAACTAAGGCGTTGTATTTTTGAAGTGCAAGCTGTTGCAACCAACTGATGTATGCGCTCAGTGATCATGAGATATCGTAGTCCGTGTCAAAGTCGCGTTACGAATATAGTCTCACAAACCAAAGCAAGATTTAGTAGCTGTCCTCATATGATGCAAGATCAATTCCAAATAAACGGTTCATTAGAAATCAACCAATTAGATACGGTGTAGCGATATAGAAAAGAATATCTCGTATCAAACGAAAGCTAGAAATATCAAGGCAAATGCGTTGTAAATCGCGCGTGCGCTCGAGCTTGGTGTTCCGCAGAATCTGAAGCAAAATTCAAGCATCAGCGCTAGCGCTGAACATTTGAGCCAAGGGATGAATCAACACACGCGCTACAGACAATGACCGTCTAGCAGGTAATAGAGCTGCCATCAGTAGTGTCGATCCAAGAAGTAACATCACCGTTCTGTGAATAGTCCTCGTCGACCCATCCGAACTAAATAAGAGAGATGTAATGAGTACTTCACTACATTCCAAGTATAAGTCGACTGGGCACATACCTCGAAGATTCCGTTCAAAGTGACGGCCTTGAAAACGCCGTTAATGTACCAGACAGTTTCTTTGGTACCCAGCTACGTGAAGGAGATCAGTCACAACGACAAAGAGTCAACGGGATGACTAAGATGAACTTACAGTGGTATCCAATCCCTCGTTGGCAGCGTACAAACTAGTCGTTGTGGAACCCTCAGGAAGAGTGACTGTGCTGTTGACCCACTCGATCGCATACGCCGCAGGGCTGCTTCCACTGACCGGAATCATAGCAGCGATAAGTCCCGGGTAGGGGCAAACCTGAGTAAGAGTCTGCGTCGTGGAATCGTACGTCGCGCTCAGAGTGGGAGTGGAACCACCGGCTTGAGACATAGCATAACCGTAAGAGCCTGCGATGAGGGTAAAAATACCCTTGGATTGGCCGTAGGGAGAGGTCGAGTTATAGGAAAGACCGAGGATGTCCTGAGCGTGCACGGCAGACAAGGACGCAGCGAGGCCAGCGAGGAGAGTGAGCTTGATCATTGCTAGAGAAGATTCACTGGAGAAAGAGTGTGTAGGCACAGGAAGAAAGAACCAAAGGGTGGGAATAGTGTTGGAATGGAGGGAGAGTTTGAGGTTTTATACCATTGTGGACTTGGACTACTTCGTTGCCTTCATGCTCCCTTCACGGAGAGTTTCCGAGTTCATGGAAACCTATGGAAACCCAATGGAAGCCTTCACAATTCCCGAACTTCTGCGTCGGACCCGTCGGATCATTAGCGAAGGAGTACCGCCCAAAAGATTCCTCGTTTCTCCCTTTCCTGCTCCTTTCTAGGTCGTACTGTCACCACTGAATTCCTTCATTATCATCTTCATTCTCATGTAATCATGTAAATTCCTAACAGCCTTGTACTCCGGTCCAGCGAGGCTTCTGCCAAAATTTCGAGCAGCGGACGAGTCTGCAGCTGTGCACTGGTACTGCAGGGAAACAATGCAGGGGTTATTGACAGTGTGAAGATTCCAAATCCGAGAATACCGGTGAACTATCGGAAAGTTGACCGGAAGTAACCTGGAAGTAACCAACAGACAATGAATGTTTGAACTTGGACTGATCTGCACCAGTTTTTTACAGGGTTTTTAAAGTCAGAAATCGCCAGGAGGAAGACGCGGGGCCATTCTTCAAAATTAGGTGAAAGCTGAGAAGACGCGTCCAGATAAGAGTTTGGAGGCGATTCACTTTTCCAGTTTCATCCTCAAATATGCTCAAGAGCAATATGTAGGTGGTGGTACGAAAACAAGACGGGCCAGTTTCTCACACAGGCCAAAGCGTCCCTTACGAAGCATGACACTACCAGATACAGCTAAATAATATCACGAACATTGCAGAACGCAATGACTTAGTTCATATTGATAGAAACATTCACTATTGCTCAATATTACGTAGTCCCAGGTAAGTAAAAACGATGATTTACTCCGAGGTTTTAACGATGCCAGCAAGCAAAGCAAACAGATTAGCAGGTAATCGCGCTGCCATCCGAAATGTCAATCCAAGCAGTAACGTCTTGGTTCTCCTGGAACGTCTCGTCGGCCCACGCAAACTAGGAATACCATAAGATTTGATCCGAAACTTTGAAAGATGTCTCCAAGAAACTCACCACGTAAGTCCCATCGACCGAGAACTCTTTGAAAATACCATTTTGAGCGAAGGCCCCATTAGGACTTCCCATCTGTAACCAAAGAAATAAGAAATCGGGTCATCAGGATGTAATATTGAACGGAATATTCACCGTTGTGAGGAAAGCCCCATTTCCAGGCACGAGGCTTGTTGTAGATGATCCCTCTGGCAGGATCGCAGTCGAATCAACCCACTCAATTGTGAAAGTTGAGGGACTGCTTCCTTCCACAGGAATCATAGCAGCTATGAGGCCTGCGTGAGGGCACACCTGTGTAACTGTCTGCGACGCAGAGTCGTACGTCGCACTAAGAGTGCTCGTTCCGTCAGCGAATACCATCGAATATCCGTACGTAGACTCGAGGAGAGAGAATACGCCAGTGGATTGTCCGTATGGGGAAGTCGAGTTCCACGATAGTCCCATGATGTCTTGCGCGCGCGCTGCAGAGAATGCAAGTGCGGAGATGACAAAGGCAGATGAGAGTTTGAACATGGTCGCGAGCCTGGTGAAAAGAGTTGGGGGAAGTGGATAAAGTCGCCACTGTCAAAACTGAGTGTTTTAAACCTTCAATGCACATAGCCTCATATTCAAGGAAGAAATAGAGTGACATGGGCTGTTTTCGCCGCCTCGGTTTCTCGCAGGTTTCTCGGTTAGATTTGAATCTGATTTGAACTTGTGGTGAAAAGGGTGGCAAGGGAAAACGGCTCAATTAGCCCTTGGGTCGTCTCGACAAAGGATAATAGCACACCGACGATATCCTGTCTCTATTTGGAAAGCGAATATAGTGAACACAAGACCGCACTCAGAGTGCCCTGCCGCCCCGATCGAACCCTGCCGGCCAACGAAAAGCATTGTTGAGTGAATATGAGGACCTGATGAGGACTGAAGTACTGACAGTGGAGCCCGCCATCACAGACGGATACGGGTAGGGGCAGCCTCAGAGAGTTTCAGAGTCATTTCGGTTGATACGATTATATTACTTAGAGCTTACATATACTTTTCCATCTGACGACTACCGCTATTGTGCTATTGATTCCAACTGACGACGGACACTCGCCCTACAATAATCACCGGGCATTACGAGAGATGTGACTTTTTTTTAATACTATAGAACTCATTCGACCTCCCTTCTAGTCGTTGTTGTTCCAAGAAAGAACAGCCCGATAACGCATCTTCCCATCTCTGAGTCTCGCCATAGCAGCCTGGACGCCGTCTAGCGTCATAGGGAATCTCTCTACAATGACGTGAACACCATTTCGAGCAGCAAACTCCAAGGCCTTTTTTCTGTACAAACAATCTCAGTAACCAAACACCTGATTTTGAATCGTATACAGGCTAGGGTCTACTCACTGCATAAATCTCGTCGCAATCACACTTCCAGAAATATGCAATCCGTTCCGAACAGTTGCAAAATATGGCACCGTGAGTTCACCGTCTGATGCAGTGAGAGGGAAGATCATTGCCTGCGCGTTCAAAATTGGATAGAACAACCCCAGGTTCAACTTGGCTGATGTACAAATTATGAGGCGATCTATTTGTTTAGTGATCCCAAGCGCCGAATAATCGTCGATATTCTGGGTGAGATAGAATTCCTTGGCTCCGAGTTGCAAAGCTTCGCCACGTTTGGATTCCGTAGCTGAGAAGACTACGACTTCGACGCCCATTTTTGCTGCAAACTGGATAGCAAGGTGTCCAAGACCACCGATTCCCACTATCCCCACACGATGGTAGGGTTTTACATGGTTCACAAGGGGTGTCCACACCGTGGAACCACCACCTGGTATAGTGTTCGTCAATTAGGACTTAGATGAATGCACAGAAACAAACTCACACATGAGGGGAGCAGCGTCTTCAGAGCTCATAGATTCCGGAATTTTGAAAAGCCACTGCTCTTTGCGTACAGACACGCTGCTGAGACCCCCTTGTTCGAGGTCTGCTAAGCCGTATATTTTCCAGTTGGGACAATAATTGTCTTCTCCCCGTAAACACCATTCGCATTTCCCACAAGTCCAATTCGGGTATCCCCAACCTACTCGGTCGCCAACCTTCACTGCAGACACGTCGGAACCAATGCTGTGGACAATACCAATAGCTGCAAATCGCAAAATATCAGTTGTTGAGCATTGAGTGTCAACGATGAACAGCACCTTCATGTCCCAACACCATATCAGTCGTCACAAAATGAAGATCGGTGCCACATAAACCACTATGGGTGACCTTCACCGCGACTTCATCAGCAGCAAGTTCAGGGTGCACAAACGTTTTCTGGACGATTTCACCACAAGGAGACCCGCAGAATTGAATGGATTCCAATCCCATGGTGGTGCTAATGGTGATCAGCAAGCAAGGCGGGGCGAACACTACATGTTTATGTAGCACATGCAACTGCAACGCAGCGAGAATTTCGCAGCATGATTGCCGTACAATACGCACATAAATAGAAACGACTCACGCCCAGGAAGAGCTGCTTTCAAATAAGAGTCGTATTGGGCAAGTCATATGCGCAACTTCGTGAATTGTAGTATGAAGTGAATCATGAAAGGTGGTGTAACTCACCTCGGCCTTACGCATCCACGAACACTACTAACGGACTGTACAGGTCGCAGTCAGCGAACGAGTCAATTATGGTACAACCAGATTCATAGCCCGAAGTCTAGTCTGAAAGGCAGGAGCAAACATTGGTGTAAACTTGCCCACGGATTTGGACTTATTCGCATCATGATCTCGCGCGTTCTTTAAAGAGATGATTTCTCCCAAGGCTGCAAATTCAAGTTCTCGCCAAGCCAATCCACCATTCAACAAAAATCCCAATTTGGTGTCAACCAGAACCGCACAGCCTGCGAAAATACGAATATTTCTCGAGGGAATGTGGGCAATATACATGTATTCGGGTATTCGACAAACCGTAAGCCCGGCCTCGAGGAATGAATATCGAAAAAAAAACCATATAGCGACCGTATAGCCTAAACGGCAGTTGGAGAATAGCTTAGTCTTCGTTGGAAAAGCATTTTGGGAATCTGTGCTAACCTTTCAATTTTCTGCCTATCTAGTTTGAATCATTCCCGACAACGCAATCTTTTTCTGCTGAAATACTCGTATTTATAGAGTTTCTCTGAATCGCTGGAATATCCAGATCCTTGTGTTCCTCTGAAACCGTTGGACTAGCTGGTTTTGAGTTTCCGCGATCGAAGATTATGCTGGCCTGTTCGATGGTGCCGCCTCTATGCAATGCCTCTTAATGCAATGCTCTGAGGCGGAGAACGTGGAAGGGGGCTTACTTTGTCTCAACAAAGAACAACCACACCAAGCCCAGATATACTACCTCCAACCCAATGAAAACCAGATAATATTTCCACTGCAAAACATGAAATGAATATCAGATAGTATTGACGACGGGACTTGGCACGACTCTACCGACCTGGATCGCATTCAGTGCTATCGGGTCAAGAAAATTCGTCGATAGCACAGAGGAAGCTTGAATAAAATTAGTCCAATTCAACGCCTTGCCTCTAATAGAGAACGGTAAAATCTCTATTAGGTACAAGCTGTAGAGGGCTGTCCATCCTGCCTGGTGAAAGGCAGTGAAAACGAAAAACGATACAAGCACACCGATCGCAATCGGAGTGTTATTGGTATGGGTTTCGAATAAAGCCTAGATGCGAAGTCATAGGCGTACGGTTACATGCAACCGCACTTGAACTGTAGATGAAACACTTACCGAAAGCCCGGTGATGACACACAGCGATAATAGCATACCAATCGTTGAGCCGAGGTAGAGAGTACGACGCCCAACTTTGTCAGCTGACAAAGCGCCGGCTGAGGTCCATATCGTGAACCAAAATCCCAGTCCGCCATTTATGGCAGCTAAAAGCAGATTTCGTCGAATTTCGAAGCGATTAACAAAGAGCGTGAACCTACTGATACGAGCCGGATCTTTGATACCAATGGATTTGAGAACGATTGTAGAATAATTTCGTGCTATACCAGCTGAGTCACCGTCATATCAGGTTCAAGGGTAACGAATGTCATTCAGAGTGAGTTAGAACTTACACCCGAGTACAAGGGTTCCAGAGACCGCCAGGGTCAATACCAGCATCCTTCGACGGTTACCGGCAGATTGGAGTAAATTCCTCCAGTGAACATTCCCCGCATCTATATCCTGCTGGATGTGCGTAGCAATTTCGTGAAATTCTTGTTGTACCAGTTCGTCTTCCGTATTACCGTTAGCATGATACTTGGCGAGAATCCTGAGCGCTTCGTCGTGTTTCCCTTGACCTATGAGCCACCTCGGAGATTCAGGAGTAACAAAAAGCCCCATGAGAAGGGTTATGGGTGCTAGGTTTTGAGCGAGTGTAACGAAGCGCCACTGCCAATCCGAATTTCCCCAGCGTAGACAAAAGAATGCTATCCATACAGTTGCCATACCCCCCACGCAGAACGAACTCATGTTCAATGCGCTGGAGGCTCTACGCCAAAAAGTGGTTTGAAAAAGTGTAGAGAGAAGAATATAACTCCTCACCCACGGAGTCGAGGGTGTACGAGCTCGTTGATAAGGCACATAGTCCCGAATTGGGATATTGGTTGCCCGATCCCTATGATAAATCTTCCAGAATTGAACATGAATTCGGTTCTTGAAAATGTGCAGACAAAGCCGCCCGTAGTCTTCAGCGGGTGATTAGAATTCAAACACCAGGGACGTAATCTTTCGTTTACTCACCGAAATAATGCATCCAAGAAAGATAGCTCTCTTTCGCCCGAGATTATCTACCAGCATATGAATTACTGGCACAGTACTTAGAGAATAAGGGTCAATATCGAGGGCTGAATTGGGAAGCTTACAACTTACAGCATATGACCGAAAGACACATAGGCTGCCATGAGCCCGAGTCTGGATCCCGATGGATCATTGAAAGTTCGATTCCAAACTGGGAGAGCAAGGAGGCTATTGAACAGTGTTTCATCATAACCGAGTTGGAAGCTTCGCATTTCCGTTAGAAGGGAAGCTATGTCTTGAATGCAAAAACAACTACTTCGCGCTATACAATAACACGACTGATAGAACGTTCTTGCGCATACCATGGTCTCTCCACCATTGACGATGCACGTTATTTTGCCATGGAATCCGTGCGCTATTGACCATCGTGAGTGTTGTAGACAGAGATTGTGGAAGTAGACTTGGAGTACTTAAGGTAGCTGTTCTGCTTCTGATGCGGTAAATCATATCACTGAGAAGTGGTGTCTGAGTAGTCCCGATCTGCCATGCTAGCTTTATGTAGAACCGAGGTTGTAGCAGAGATGCAATTACACTGGGGCGAAAGGGTGGAAGGAACGGTATAGAAAGTAAGTCCCATAGCCTATTGTACAGTGAGCACGATAGTAGTAAGGAACTAGGTGATAACGTACCAGACTGACACTTGTGCGTTCATCTTAGACTAGCCAACACAACCTGAATTACAACCGAAAGTAGGATCAAACTAGACTCGAGCTTTGCTAATGCTTCTTTGAATCGATTTCAACTTCTATCTCCGCTCCAGATGATCCCGCGAACAGCAAAAGTAGATAGAGGGAAGACTTCTGGCTTGATCACCGGCGGGGTTGGTCAAGCTGACAATAACAGGATGATCATGGAGAATGTTCGATGAAGGTAGATTGTTAGCACGTGCTCATCGAGTCTATTTTCGGCTCATATCCACAGCTTTGGCCAAGACTTCCTCGTAGTCGATCAATCCTAGTCTCCAGGAGTCTACCTTGTCCTTGTGGATTGAGCTCGCTGCTGCTGGAGCCTTAAGACCAGATGTTCTATCTTGGGACCACACCTTCAGGTAGCACCATGTATCTATATGGCAATAAACTAAGTTCAGAACTTTAAAGCGCTGCGCAACTTGGCTGTTACATACTTCATTTGAGTTTGAAACTGGCACAGTACACCATCGAGCTGAAAATGTGTTCCACGTGCATACTGTAGATTTAATTGTCGAATCTCTTCCCATCTCATCGTTGCTTTTATCCACTAGCCATCAACTGACAGCATCGCAAAGACAAAAGCAAAGAAAAAGAAGAGGAAAAGAATCACAATAAATGTGAATCCCCCGACGACACAAGCCGGTACTGTAATAGCAAGGTCATCGCGTCCCCGTGTTGCAAGCAGAGCACGAAGGAGCAGGGGCGGCAAAAATTAGATAACCAAATACGGAGGGCGGTGCCCTCGTAATAGTGGTTAAACTATTAAGAACAGATACTACACTTGATCTAAGCCAAAAGGCCAGAGTGGTAAAGAATCCAAATATTCAAAAGAGGTTTTTATATTTTTGAAATCGTGCACGGACCAGGTTAAGGGGAGGTTGACGGCACTCAATCAGTTTCGCGCAACCCACCTGCTCACTTGCGTTGCGAAGTCCGTTTATTAACTATGTCAATTGAAGAACAAATTACATTGCAGTAACACATACAGAGATAATACTATGCATGATACAAGTGGGAAAAGAAAAAACACGTATATTATCCGATAACGAGGAGTGCAACGTCGGTATACGGCAAGACATACTGTATAGCTAAGGTGAGGAGTCGTGAAAAAGATCAGAACAGTCCGCCACGCAAATACACTGCTGATCGTAAGATATCGGGTTTTACAAGTATGGCACCAACGATAGACTTGGATGGAACGACGCGTCGGAGGCGAGCGCGACTTGCTGTTGACGATTCAATTCAGAAACAAAAACGGTAGAGGACGTCAGCATTATCATAGCATCACTACTTACATTGATGCTAGACTCGACATCCCAAATTGATCGATGATTGAAATACTTCAAGATAGATAAGTGGTTCCCGATTTTGACAACCTTCAGTGGGATTGCAATCTACTGCAACACGAAGCAAGGAAGATGGAATCACGTCTACTCACAACCATGAATGGGTAAGACAGAATATATGTATTCACAGAAGAAAAAGAGAACATAGCGATCAAGTCACAGCACTAAGATGTTACTCGGAATCTGCGCATTCCTTGGCGTCCATCTCGTATAACGTTCTCCGTTGTTGAGGAGTAAGTCTTGCGAGCGTTTGCTAGAAATCCGGAGTTCAGTGAACCCTCCGTCTTGACTGAGCACTTCGACAAGAGTCAGTAAATGGATGTCAGCAAATTGAAGGAGTGTACGCAATGGATCTTTGGGATATTCTACCCACAAAAGATCTTGAGACCCGACTAAGCTAACCTTGGCATTTCTGCGTTTTTGCAAGGGTATGATCGTGCTTTGGGGCGAAGGTTGTTGGGCATGTTGTTAGACCATGATCATGGACCAAGAACAGCTGATGAGATATATCCGCGTCGAATACGGACACACACAAACCAGAGAAAGAAGGCGGAAAAGAGCTCGGGAGCGCATCCTGAAAATGGGTAACATGCGGGTCCACTGCAAGTGCGGTTGCGCGAAATACCCCGACTCTTCGTGCAGGCCGCTTGGAGGAATGGTTCTCGTTGCGGTGGAGATAGGTTTTCAACTGACGAAGATAGTGTTAGAACAAGAGAAGCTCGCAGATCGTGTCGCGGTTGATAGTAGCCATGGAAGATCAAAGCAAACCTAGTATGGTAAACAAACCCCAACATCCAAAGCTTATAGTGGCACTGTGCACAAAATGCCAGACTCCCAAATCCCGTATCGACTTACACATTCCATATCATTATCAAAATTATCAAATGAAAATCGAAAGCGAGGACGTTTAGAAATCTTTGTAGGAGAGCAACTGCAGTTTATGGAACAACTTTTCTACGAATTTTTGGCTGCACGGAGTAGAATTGCGTTTTTCCGGGCAATCATGCACTCAAACAACCAAGTTCTATCCTACAGAGACTGATGATTCTGCCTTCCGTGGCCCAGTAAGACGATGATTCCACTCTTTCAGCTGACTTCGTCTTTCTCAGCTCCGGTTCTCTGACGCCGGTCAGGCGGCGCGAACAGCTGGGTGCTTTACTTCAGCCACTGCTCGAGGATATTAGCGGTTTATGCGAGGTGGAGTGCAAGATGAAAGCTGTGGGTGATGCCTTCAACGTTCAGTGAGAATATCCTATCTTCACAGCACCTTCCCGTTTCCTACATTGTCTAGTTCGACGTCCGATAACCCCAGCTATCCGTCCGTAACGCCAAAAGCAATTGTCGAACCTACGACAGAGACTAAATCTCATATTATCCAGAACGAAACTCGTCCAAATCGTCCAAACTGTAGGAACGGCAAAAGGAAGAACCCTCCATCGCGCCTCGAGTCTCCATCTACAACAAGCAAGGTTTCGGTTTCCTCATCATCTCATCGTGCACGCTTTCAAAGAGCATCAAGCGAAGTCACAACACGTCAGTGAAATTGGAAAAGCCTGGAATCGGAAATTCAGGTCACCCCACAACAGCGAATGAAGACCGAGGAGAAGCAAGGACTTGAATGTGGTGAACTCGCACCGAAACGGCCAAGGATCAAGGACGAGCAGGAAGAGGTAGAGGTGCTGATTCATCTTTTACATTGGAAGTTATACCAGAAGAGACTACAAGCACGAATGATTTTTCTTGGGATGATCTTGTCGGTGATGATCTCTTCGGTGAAGACGATCTTTCTGGCGACGGTGATCTGGCGACAGCATGGTAAGATACTCACTCAGTAGTTCAGGTTGATCAAGGTACTCCGATGAGTTACTCCAGGTGGTAGTTTGCGATTCTATAGTGAATGAGACTTACGATCTCACATAAAAGAGCAGACAGCGGAAAGACAGGTATCATGACTGTGGAGCATGAAAAAGGATGGAAGGTGAAAAGGAAAGCCCGAGAGACTGTATGTACGCGTCGAGAGATGACCGAAAATGCTAGAGGGTCCAAAAAGATCGTAGCAGTGCTTCATCAAACATTTTTACAGGCAGCAAGAAGTATGCTTGTAAATGACGAGACGTACGTATTCTGTGTACACTGCACTCTCAACCAGCTCACCCAGAGCACATGAGGATCACATCAAGTATCGATAAAAGATTGAGAAAATCTCCACACAAGAACAATTTGAAGTCGGATATTCCACAGAGATCCCCAAGTTCTTCATCGCCCACCAGGGTCACTCAGCGGCCCAACGGTACAAAATTAAGTGCGTACGCTGTCTTATAAACTGTGTCATGGACCGCTCTTAATTCACTACCGTCACCACCTTCGAATTCTCCCACGGTTTTTCCGCTGGATTCGAAGCCTCGGAAGACATAGTTTTCGAATTAAGAGTAACTACTGGCTTGCTTGTAATACTTAGTGTGTTCACGACGAAATGGCACCTACCTTAAACATGTCCACGAGTTCGAACACACAGCAGACCACCCTGATTGCGCACACCGAATCACTGATCCAACTTCGAAACAAAGCCATTGCTGAAGGATTGATGAAGAAAGGAGATGACTGCTTTACAGCCTTCCCAACACAACTAGTCAAGCTAGCCGCTGAAATGACTGACGGGTCTGGAACTACAGCGTCACGCAAGAAGGCTTGGGAGAAGGTTGGATTAATGGGGAAGATGCTACAGGAAATGTCATGGAAGGACCGAACCAATGAGCTCAAGGAGGATATAGCGGAACACATCACACAAAAAATCGACGACGAGGTGCTCACATTCAAAACCTGGGTAACCACAGCGAAGAACGAGACTGCGGAAGCCGCGAGAATGGTAGAAAAGGCGACAGAATATATAAAGGAAGTCGTGGGTAGGCTGGACTTCAACATGTCCAATGGGGAGACGGCTGGAGAAGGGGAAGAGGGAGAAATCACAAGCTCTCCAACTGGTACAGTAAACCTCTCATATGCACAGGCTCTTCAGGCGCGGAATGTAGCGAACCACCTTCAACGGCCCAAACACGCCGCTGCTATCCAAGCCAGCAAACGGATGGACCGTAGGATAGTTGTCAAAACGGGGTCGACCTCGGACCTAGCTCTCGGTGAAGCCGAGTTGGTGGCCAAGGCAAACCTAGCAGTGGAGCAGGTCGAGGGCGCGGGAGAAGACAAGGTGAAGGTCATCGCAGTATCGAAGACCCAAGGAAAGGGTATTGTATGCCTCCTGCGAACTGCGGAAGAAGCACAGTGGCTCGGGGAGAGAACCAGGCTGGAGAGCTTCTGCAAGGCATGGGGAGCAGAAGTAACGGCACGGTCGAACTACCATGAGGTGGTAGTAGAATTTATCCCGGTCTCACTAGATCTTGAGGACGAATGGATGCGAAGAATGATCGAAAGCACTAACAACCTCCAACAGGGATCTATTGCTATGGCACGCTGGATCAAGAAACCGGAATTACGCAGGTCAGGACAACAAGTGGCTCACGCGATTTTCGCTATGCGGTCAAGATCTGAAGCAAATAGAATCATTGGAGAAGGTATTCTAATTGCCGGTAAATACCTGGAGGTGCGTAAAAATCTTTCCGACCCAGTTCGGTGTATGAAATGTCAACACTACGGGCACATTGCAAAGGAATGCGAGGCAGTAGTAGACACCTGCGGGCGCTGTGGAGGACACCACCCCACACGAGACTGTATTGCTCCGAAGGACAAATTTTTCTGTGCTCTGTGTAGAGAGCCAGGCCATGGAGCTGCGAGTCGCAGCTGCGCAGTACTACAGAAGAAGCTGCGGGAGCGATGCGAACGAGATTCAGAACGAATCTATCGTTTCTTTGTCACTGAGGAGCCTGAAACGTGGGTTCGAACTGACAAACCTCTCAAGGAGGATTTCGACGAAACATGGAGGCGTGAGCTGCGGGAACAACGCGATGATGGATGGAGGTTGGTTCAACGGGGAGGAGGGAAAGGCCGATTGGCAGGGGGCGTACCAGGCCAGGGAGGCAATTACCAAAGCTCTCGTGGGAGGAGCGCAGTGCCACGAGTAAGACAAACCAGACAGCGAAGCATAGATGGTTACTTCTCTTCGTCCCGATCACGCCCCCCACCTACATCGCAACGATCGGGTGTCATGCCTTGCCTGATTTTGCTTCCTTACCTATCATATTCCTCCTTACTACCTCCCTATATCTCCCCACTGTATACCCAGAGCTCCCCTTGTCCGCTTTTACCATTATGTAATATGCCACATGGCTGTCACATGTATAGTATTTAGGCTGGGGACTCCCCTCGGAGCTCCCCAGCGTGTTATTGTCAAATCTTATCTGGAAACTCTTCCAACCTGGCTTGGTCCCTGTTAGTACAGTCTACTTGTACTTGCTAACAGGGCCTGACACGTCTCACCTGTCATACATTTCCTCTTTATCTGTTTCCCTCAACTCTGTTTCCTTCACCTCTGTTTCACTCAACTCTGTTTCTCTTCTCTGTCTCACCTCTCTGAACACCTCTCTCAACTTCCTGAGCCTCTCCTACGACTTACAGTCTACGTCGAGGCTCCACACCCCCAACCACCTCCATCCTCACCAACTACACCTCCTTCCCCCACTCCAGGACCTTTGGCTAGGTCCACCCAAGCTCCGCAACCACCACTGGTCAGGCTCCCTACACCAGTAGCGGCACTTATCCCACCTCCCCTTGTACGGCCTAGGCAGCTGTCCTGCTTGCTTAGGCCCAGTCCAGATAGGACGAGAGCAGGCCTTTTGTGCCAGGCCTCACATAATAACACGCTCAAAGGGAGTTCTCTCCAGTCCGGTTGTTGAGTAGGTCCTTGTACACCACTTGCCTCGCCTCCATGATTTCCACATACCTCCCCAAACCCAATTTCATCCCTTCCACCTCCCCATTCTTCACGAAGCTTCACTGGGACCAATTTGCCATTCGTCAGGAAGGGCCTCGAAGTATTGGCCCACTGCTATGGACATCTGGAACACCTCCCTCAGTGTCCCCAGAGCATACTGGTCAGCTTGCTAGACTCTCATTTCATGGGAGGAGCTTTCAACCAGTTTTGATATCCCCTGGAGCACCTCTGAAGCGTCCAGCTGGACCAAGAGCTATGCCTAAAAGACCCACCCAGGCCCAGGATCTATCCACAACGTCACAGGAACCTGGGACTGTACAGTGGTGCATTCCTGCCCTGCAGACAGTTCATAAGAACATCCCTATATGTCTCCAGGTGTCCAGAATCAGGCTTTCAGACCCTCCTCCTCGTCGAAAACCTCCCTGGATAGCTTCTTTCCATCAGGGCTATGTCTTTGCACATTCCCAGGTGTCCAGGATCGCACTTTTGGACCCTCCTCCTCGTCAGAAACCCCCCTGGATAACACCTTCTCACCAGAGCAGCTTTGATGATGCCCCAGAGCTGGAGGATTAGGAGCAGAAGAAGCTCCTTTCTTCCCTAAGGTACGATTTAACTTAATGATGATTTTGATTGCCTCTTCCCATTATATGTATCATAACTTTTTCGCTTCTGTTTGCATTTGGGACGTGCTTGGACTGCTGGAAAGCTTCCCATCTTACCTTCCAAACGCCCCAACACCTGTGCCAATGTGTGTCCTCGTTCCGGAGATGTAGTCCATTCAGTGATTGCAGGTACATCGAAGAGAGGAGGTATTATAACTCCTTCGTTTCTATTCGCTTTTCGGACGTGTTTGGACCACTGAAAAGCTCCTTGTCATACCTTCCAAACGCCCCAGCAACTGTGCCAACATGTGGTCTCGTTCCGGAGATGTAGTCTATCCAGTGATTGCAGGTACATTGAAGAGAGGAGGTACTATAACTCCTTCAGTTCTGTTCGCATTTCGGACGCGTTTGGACCATTTTGAAGCCCTATTCCACAGCTTCCAAATGCCCCTATGACCGCCTTATGGAGCTCCTCCGTTCCAGAGGAATGTTCCCCTCACTGTCAGCCAGTACTACGAGGAGAGGGGGTCCCATAACTTCTTCCATTCTCCTCGCATTCTGGACGTGTTTGAAGCGCTTGAGAGCCCTGAGCCATAGCTTCATAACGCACCCCTGACCGCCCTATGGAGCTGCTGCGTTCCAGAGGAATGTTCTCCTCCCTGTCAGTCAGTACTACGAGGAGAGGAGGTACCATAACTTCTTCGATTCTCCTCACATTTGGGACGTGCCCAGGGCGTTAGGAAGCTCTACTCCATAGCTTCCCAACGCTGCCTTGATTGCTCTATGGAGATCCCCTGTCCCAGAGGAATGATCCCCTCACTGTCAGCCAGTACTACGAGGAGAGGAGGTACCATAACTTCTTCGATTCTCCTCGCATTTGGGATGTGTTCAGGGCGTTTGGAGGCTCTAATCCTTAGCTTCCCAATGCTCCCTTGATCGCTCTATGGAGATCCCCCGTTCCAGAGGAATGCTCCCCTCACTGTCAGCCAGTACTACAAGGGTAGGAGGTGCCATAACTCCTTCAGTTCTCCTCGTGTCCAGGACGTGTTTGGACCATTTGGAAGCCCTATTCCGCAGCTTTCTAATGCCTCCCTAGCTGCTCCATAGAACTCTTTTGTTCGAGAGTGACACCCCCTCACTGCCAGTCAGTACCATGAGGAGAGGAGGTATAATAACTCCTTCAGCTCTGCTCGCATTGGGGATATTCTTGGACTGTCTGGAAGCTCTGCTCTCTACCTTCTCAATGCCCCCTCGATCGCCCCATGGAGCTCCTTTGTTCAGGAGTGGTGTCCTCCTCATTGTCAGCCAGTACTATGAGAAGGGCAGGTACCACCACTCCTTCACTTTTGCTTGCATTTGGGATGTTCTGGGGGCGTCAGGAAGTGCTTCTGAACCTCTTTCCAATGCCCTATCTGGTGTTTAGGTCAATGCCTGCATTCTGAGCTATCCTCCTGTCACTGTCCCCCTTACACCAAAACCTTTCCTATGGTACCTTCAACTTTATCTCCATGATTTATTTAAACTTTGTGACCATTTTCTACCTTCGCGGGCTCAGGTTTTAGAGGGGGGGGTACTGTCATGCCTTGCTTCTCCGGACCTTTCCCTTTCCTTTCCAGAGCTCCGGTTCATCACTTATACATGTTTCCGATATCCTATGCACCATCCTTACGATCTTTACTGTACATAGTACCTGTCACTCCAGTAGCCACATGACATATGTACCTGACAGCCTCATGTACAGTATATAGGCTGGGGACTCCCCTCGGAGCTCCCCAGCGTGTTATTGTCAAATCTTACCTGGAAACTCTTCCTACCTGGCTTGGTCCCTTTAGTACAGTCTACTAGTACTTGCTAACAGGGCCTGACACGTCTCAACAGTCATATATTTCCTCATTATCTGTTTCCTTTATCTCTGTCTCACCTCAACTCTGTTTCTCCTCTCTGTTCCCCATCTCTGGCCTCTTTCTGTCAATCCTCGTATTGTCTACGCCTCTACTTCGACTCACCATCTACGTCGAGGCTCTACAATTCGTCCTTCATCCTTTGGAACCTCCCATTAGGTTCCCAATTCCGCTTCATTGCTCCCTAAGCTCCCCACAGCTTCCCACTCGTATCGGCTACACCTCCCCTCCACATCGGAGCGGTGGTTACGCGTTACGTTCTACACCTCCAGGACCCTCTATTAGGTCTACCCAAGCTCCACAACTACCCCTGGTTAGGCTCCCCTCACCAGTATCGGCACTATCCCATACCTCCTCGTACGGCCTAGGCGGCTACTGCGTTCGCTTAGGCCCAGTCTGGGTAAGACCAGAGCAGGCCTTCTGTGCCGGGGCCTCACATCGGGTCAGACAGGCACCCAAGGAAACAGAGGATGGGGAGAACCACCACTCCCACAGAGTCAGGGCAGTGCACCAACGGGATCCCAATGAGTGCACACCCATCGATGCGAACCAAGAGACAGCTGGAAGTCTGGCAGATAAATGCGAACAAGTCAGACGACTGCATGCATGACTTCCTACGTAATGACAAGGGGAAGGCAGACATTATTGCAGTACAGGAGCCTTACATTGACTGGAAGGGTGCAACGAGAGCTCTTTCACACTTACACACCATCTACCCCACAGGCCACTTAGATAATTTCACGGAAACGCCGACACGGTCTCTCATTTTCATCAACTCTAGTATCCCAACAGAGGACTGGGCAAGACTGGACATCGAAAGTGGAGACGTAACAGCAGTACAGATCACTGGCTCTTTTGGTACGCTGCGTATTTTCAACATATACAATGATTGCAACCACGACAGAGCTCTCCGAGCAGTAGAACAGTGGTATCGCACACCGGCAGCGAGAATCGTACCCAAGCGTCCTCTACATACAACGTGGGTAGGGGATTTCAACAGACATCACCCGATGTGGGATGAGATTCGCAACCACCACCTATTTACAGCGCAGAACCTCGCCGCAGCGGAAACTCTCATAACGACACTAGCACAACACGGACTCAATATGGCACTTCCTAGTGGCCTCCCTACATTGCGCTCCTTCTCTACAGGGAATTACACTCGAGTGGACAATGTTTTCTGCTCCGAAGAGCTCACTGATCGTGTCATTATCTGCAGAACCACTCCGGAGAGACAACCCATCAAAACCGACCATTTCCCAATTGTCACAGTACTTGACTTACAGAACCGTGTGGTGGAGAAGCGAGAGCGATGGAACTGGGCGCAGGTGGACTGGGAAGATTTCCGGGAGACGTTGAAGGAAGAGGTGCAGATATTGGGCGACCCGAGGGAACTGGAGACAGAGGCGCAGTTTTGGGAGGCACTAACAGCTTTCGATCGAGTGGTGGAAAAGGTAGTGAAGGAGAAAGTGCCTCGAGCACGGCCAAGCCCCCACCAGCGTAGATGGTGGAACTCGGAGCTGGATACCCTCCGACACCATCGCAACGCATTATCAGCCCAATCGTACAAGAACCGCTTCGAGCCAGAGAACGAGATACACGAAGAATATCGCAGGGTCCGACAAACATTCAGTGCGGAAATGAGGAAAGCAAAGTTGGAGAAATGGGCGGAATACCTTGAATATGCTGATTCAGGATCCATGTGGGATGTTGGGAAACTAGTTGAGAAAGGTCACACGGATGGTGGGAGAACAAGAGTCCCTGGTTTGACGGTCGGGAGGCAGACAATTAACGACAATGTCGGGAAAGACTACATATTCCGAGACGCCTTCTTTCCGCCCCCACCGACAACAACTGCTAATACACCGACCAGCTCCCCTTACCCACCCCCAGCTTGGAAATTCGAACCTCCAACAAATCGACTCATAACCAGTGCGATACGGCGAATGAAAAATGGCAAAGCTACCCGACCTGGTACCATCCCGAACGACCTTTTCAAGGCAACAGCTGACCTTATCGTCCCATACCTCGGACCGATATACCGCGCAACCTTCACCCTGCAGATCTATCCCCCGGACTGGTCCAACACCGAAACAATAGTGCTGAAGAAACCTGCCCGTACAGATTACCGGCTACCAGGGGCCTGGCGACCTATTGTGTTGTCGAACGGCCACGGGAGGCTACTGAACAGCTGCATGGCAGATGAAATTGTGAAGCAAGCGGAATTGTTGGGACTGTTGCCGGCAATGCAATTTGGTGCCCGTCCCGGTCGCAACACGACTGACTCAATTCACCTGATGGTTGACCGAATCAAGGAGCTATGGAGGGAGGGATACCTAGTGGCGGTGCTCTATATGGATGTAAAGGGGGCCTTTCCAAGCGTAAACCTGGAGAAGCTGTACCACCAACTACGGGCCATAGGCGTGCCAGCCGAGATAACCCAGTGGATGCAGCGCCGATATAAAGATCGAACCACGTGTTTGGTTTTCGATGACTATATCTCCCAGCCATTCAATGTCCTAGCTGGAGAAGACCAAGGGGACCCCTTTTTGGCCATCGGTTACATCCTCTACGCAGCAGGGCTACTACAGCTGTTCAAGAAGGAGGAACAAGAAGAGGGCTTTGGCTTTATGGATGACGTTGCAGCAATGAAATGGGGACACGATATTGAGGAGCTACACAAGGAAATCGGGGGGATGATGACGAGAGAGGACGGAATACTCAAATGGGCGGAGGAACACAACTGCGAATTCGGAGTCGACAAATTCAAGCTGGTGGATTTCAACCGACGTCGAATACCAGACCCACTTGCACGGGGAAAAACTATGATGTTGTCTGGACCAGGTGCACGAATCGGAACCATTACGATCAAATCCGAAGCATATGCGAGATTTCTAGGAAGCCTGATGGACAAGCAACTGCGGTGGAAAGAGCAGCGGGCCCTAACTGTCAAGCGAGGTCAGGACTGGATCACCCAATTCCGACGATTAGCCCGAGTCAAAAGCGGAATGGCAGCACAACACATCCGACAGCTCTACAAGGCCAAGGCCCTCCCGAGGATGCTCTATGCAGCTGATATCACCCTGGTGCCGCACACCAAGAAACGGGGGAAGACCTGGAAGGAGGAGAAAGGACAGGCTATCCTACGACAACTAGTATCTATTCAACGCCAGGCTGCCATCATGGTAACAGGAGCAATGTCGACCACGGCATCTGACATTCTAGATATACATGCAGCGCTACTGCCAGCCCCCCTGGAGGTTGAACGACAGAGACATAGAGCGGCCACACGACTCCTCACACTCCCGGATTCACATCCTTTGGCTGAGCGCACCCTGACTGCTGCCCGGAATCGACATCGCACGAAACACTTTTCACCACTCCATGACCTAATCGCAAGGTACGGACTAAAACCACAGGGGATGGAAAAGCGGGCGCCAGTACGGTACGAAGCACAATGGGATCCAAAACTGAAGATACAGATCTGGGAGGACAAGAACGAGGCACTAAAAGCGTTTGAGCAGGATTCTACATATTACAAGATATTTACTGATGGTTCTGGCTACAAAGGATACATAGGAGCTTCTGCAGTACTATACAAAGGTAGGGAGGAGGCAAGCACTATCCGATACCGGCTTGGTCCTGAGGAGCATCACGAAGTGTATGAAGGGGAATGTGTGGGCATGATACTCGCACTACACCTATTACGAAACGAAGCCAACCCTGTGGCAGTGTCTATCTGGTCAGACAGCACTGCCGCTATTGCAGCATCTGACTCCACGCGAAGTGGCCCTTCCCACTACATCCTAGACATCTTTCACTCGCTGCTAATGGAACTCAAAACAACGCAGCCAGATCTACGAGTCACCATCTCATGGATACCGGGACATCTTGGGGTGGAAGGAAACGAACGAGCAGACGAAGAAGCAAAGAGAGCAGCACAGGGACGCTCAAGTCCTTGCTCCTGCCTACCACGGCAACTACACAGACAGCTCCCGCGAAGCCAAACGGCAGCCATCAGGACTTTTCGGAGTAAACTCGAGGAACACCATGACAAAACATGGAAGAAATCCCCCCGCTATGCACGTTTCAGTGCGATCGACCCATCGAGCGCCACAATAGCAAGCCGCCGGTTCTGGAAGCTGGCCCGTGATTTGCCTAGGAAGCTCACATGTATCCTGACCCAACTACGAACTGGCCACATCCCTCTGCAGAAACACCTGCACCGTATCCATCGAGCAGACACACCCATATGCCCATGCTGTAAACAGCAACCAGAGACAGTCTTCCACTACCTTTTCCAATGTCCTGCGCACCGCAGAGCCCGCGACCGTTTCCGCACACGTATCCCGAGAACCCAATGGAACATGAGCTCCCTGCTCACCGGCCGGAGCACCCTACCGCAGCTATTTCGATACGTCGATGACACGAAACGTTTCCACCACATCATAGGTGACCTCCCGAAGCTCAAGGATGAGGATGAAGAAGACCAATGAAGACGTGTAGAGGATAGCGCCCCCTCCCTGCCTCCTTATACTCTATTTCCATTTCATTTACTAACTCACAAATTACTCCCTCCTACCTATATCTATCAGCCACATGGACAATATCCATGCTTAATCAAACCCTCGCGGTTAGACGGGTCCCCGTCGAGGCTTCCTTATGGAGCCTGACGTAGATGACAGTTTTCAAACAAAGATAAAGTTCCCATTTTTCCAGTATGATAGATTTATTACAGTACGATGTTCACTACATATGCACTGGCACACAGGTGAATAAACAAGATACAAAAAAAAAAAAAAAAAAAAAAAACTGTGTCATATTTTCGGCGTACCGCTCAAGGTGGATTTCGAGATTTGTGAACTAGTCTTGGGGGTATCTCCTCCATTGTCGAAGAAGTGCTTTGATTCTTAAGGAGGCTCAAATTCAACAGTGGAAATCAATTCCAACCCGAGATAATTCGAGATACGCGTCCGCAACGAAATTGAAATGTTATTATATCCCCAAGTATCCTTCACTCATCCTCGGACTTTTGTGAAGCGCCCTTTGGGATCAGCATAGTCCAGAACCCACTCCTGTACTTTGTCTGCCTATTTTACCTTGAACTTTGCGGAGCCTGACCTCTGGGAACTGTCCGCTTCGTCCTTCAGCTCAATCTCAAAGTTTGACAGTGGTCTGTAAACTTTGAGGAATGCTTTGATCAGGCTGTTTATCCTTTTTTTCGCAGCTTCAGGTACTTGGACAGGGATCGTGACTGTCACTGCGAGTTTGGTCTTCCCAGTGAAAGGCATAGAGCTGAGAATACCCCGTGCATCAAGTGTATCGTGTCTGCCGAGCACTTTTCGTTGCGCTAGTGGTATCGTTGAATCCCCACGTGCAAGCACTGAAGAGAGCTCGGATTTTGTGTCGGAGCCGACCTGCATGAAATGCCATCAATATTACTTTTCTTGGGAGGAATTGGCGGACCAACCTGAATCTCCACTGGAATCGCATAGGCAAGGGACAGGAGCCCAACGAAAAGCGCGAGCTGGCAGCGCATGAGACGTAGGTGCGAATGATATTCGTGGGAAGGGTAACGTCGGGTGTAAAAGAGCGGTAGGTGGAAGTGCGATGGGTTCTTCGAGTGGAATCTGAGTTTCGGACAGTTTTTCGAGTACAGATGAACGACGGGTGTTGGTTGGTACAGGGTGGGTATGACACGGAGGTACAATCATACGGGTTAGTGCTCAACGGCTCCAATGCAGGACGAGCATACGACTTACCGAATGAACTGAATTTGAGAATATCGAAACCGTCCAGCGGATTTCTTAGTCCAGCAAACAAATTGAAGGAGAAGGGAAGAGAAAAACGAAAAGCTTGGAAATTTTGATTGAGTTAGAACTCTCGCGTATATGTATAATCATTATGTATGTACACAACTACGAACAGCCGTCGGATCGATGGACTTTCTTATACCTCTATTCTGAGTATTAGGAAGATACTGTATTGGACAATTGGTCGTTAGAACTTAAAACTTTGGGTTTTATGCAGGGAGGGATGGCGAATTTGGCATCTTGCACTATATAAATAAAGAGTAAAAACTCTATAGGTGAGGACCATCCACTTCATGGATATTGCTATGCATAGAATCAACCACCCAGTTAGTGGTCTGCCGAACGACCGTCATGGTTCCCTCGTACATCTTGTTCGCATACGAAAAGTCGAAACGATACGATTTCCCGTTTGTGGGTGAACTTCTGACGTGCATGATTGAGAAATGAACATTTTTGAATCGTTGAGCCTGAAGGAAGGTTTGGAGACAATCGTCTATGATCTTTGTGGTAAGAGGATGGATACTGATAGGGATTCTGAGATTGACGGTGACCCGGAGCATGATGGCATGGTTATTAGGCACGATGCTATTGGAAGGAGTCGGAGTGGCGACATTTGTCTTCGTATGATCAGAGGTCAAGTCAGGTTTTGGGCTAAACAGAACCCGGGCCTCCTTCGGATTGTGCGAAAAAATGAGATTTTGATACAGGCAAATTCTTTTTAGAGAACGTAGAAACTCACCGGCTGAGTAGTATTCAGCGGTAAAGCAAACGCAAAGGAAACTAGTCCAACGACAAAAAGTGCAAGATTCAGACGCATGGAAAGCGATTTGGAGAGCGGCAAGTATTCTGCAGAAAAGAGATGAATAACTGGAAAAATGAAGTGGCAGGGATGAACGACAATTGGACGGTCTGCCGGTTCGATTGAAGAGTGTATACGTGCCAGAGACAGATATTTTTTTTTGGATTGCAAAGAACGTGAAAGAAGTGTTTCTTCAACCAGCAAAGAAATCGAGAGAAAGACCTGGCCAGCAGGTATTCAGGAGGGTTGAAGAATATTAGCAGTAGGTAGGAGCAGTTAACTCACTTGAGAGAATATTGCCTGAGGCTGATTACCGCCTGTTACCGCACTGCCTTCGGACGTCGCACACAAGGATATGAACAAACGCTTCGTCTCTTGCAGAGCTCTATAATATTGTATAGATATATGTTACTGCCGACAGGATATAGCAGGTAACAGGCTGAGGAGGTAACATACTGCAGTGAACAAGCGCACAAATTCTGCCATGACCAACTAATGTTCTAGCTATCCCCGAGCTGTCCTATCGAGCTACGATGGTGTAATCGGATAATCTCCTGGTATTTGCATTTATCTGTCCTATCTCTCTTCGTATCTCCATCCGCTCGAGTTCGAGAAGAAACTTAACTTGATCCAAACTCTAGAGCCACTGATGAAACGGATCCAAACGTACCTAAAGTCCTTCGACATCGCTTCGCATTACCTCCAGCAGGCTCAGGCTTCAGGAGTCCGGATATCACAGTCACCGGCGTTTCAAACTAGAAACTTGATTAATTAGCCATATTTTGTGAACGCAATTTTTGCTTGTTGTCCTACCTACTGTAAATATCTGTGGTCATTCAAGTTACTTCTCTGTCCGTCGGTAGGGCCGGGGAAGCACAAGACTGCTGCAGACTGTTGCAGAGCCCTGCAGAGCCGATATCTACACATGAGGCAGTGAAGTGAGTGCATCAAGGTCAATCAGAGATAAATAAATACCTGATGCATACAACGCAGCGGGAAAAGCATCTGTACCTTCTGGAATCTGGTACCCATCTTCGCATTCTGTTCGTATAGTACTAGTAACTAGATAGTACTGTGCTCGTATCTGCCAATGGTCTGTTGGCCCTGTTATTTCCTGCTATATGTGACCTGCCTCATGACATGCTGCAAATAAGTAACAGGGCAATAACAGGCCTAGGGTTTATAGGAGTTCGTCCTGCGAAGCGTAGCATCCCGTGGTGCATGAATCCATACAAACTCTGGCCCGAATATCGTTGCTACATAACTCAATGAAGAACTCATTGGATCTAATGAATCAAAGTGATGGTGTTGGGACCTAAGTAGTAAGGCCTAAGGAAAGTTGAACAAAAAGTTCGAAGAGCTAGTTGTAACAACTATTGGTTGGACGAATAATCATTCGGGGCTCGTAGTACGATGTCGTTACAGGTAGAAGGAAGCTCACAGCCGTTCTCGCGCGGACCGGCACCGCCCGCCAAGTAACTTGTGGCGTGGGCTTTCCGTCGCAACCGAAAACCTATAAAAACAGGACGGGGTAATTTTGATTGATCCCACTCGTTACGAGCTTCAGCGTTGCTCACGAATCACTGCGAAGAAGTCAGTCGTTATTTCTGTTATATCTACCTCAAAAACTAATGTTTCGACGTTTTTGTTTATCGCAGTCACTTGCTGGTCAAGCCATTCAGCCCTAAAATTTTCCAACCCACGAAAAAACCCACTTACGAATCTTTACGACCATCATGTCAGCGAAATCATTGTTGCGAGCAGGAATTTCCTCCCCTCGTAGTTTTAGGTCTCCTTCGACTCCAAAGTCTATCCTCAAACGTCCACCTCCTCTTGCTTTATCTCAGAGCCCTTTCAGAGCGAGCGTCACGATAGTCGTCTCCCCTGGAAGCCCTCATGTGCATTTTCCTTCTTCTCCTGGTTTGACTGCTACTTTTACAACTCATTCACCGAACTCGTACGACCGTGGCGCTATCATAGTCTCTCCTAATCCGCTTGAGTTACCCTCTTGGGGTTCCCGAATTTACTCCCCTGGGTCTGAAACCTTTGGGAAGCCGGCGTCCACGGAGTCGAGTCCGGCGGAGGAACTCACTCCCACTTTTAAATCGTTCACTCCGCCTATCCTCTCGCTCTCCTCTCCCAGCTTCGACGAGGTTTTCCCGAAGTCCCCTATCTCAGAAACCAAGCCCACTAGTCGCGCCAGCGCTCGTTTCCAAGCTATTGCTGCTGAGCCTACGATTCGACCTATTAGTGGCATCGGAGAAGCCCTCAAATCGTATCCTCGCTCGCCTTATCCCTCGGCTCCAACTTCCCCTGCTCCCGCCGTCCTTGCGGACACGGAGAAGAATCATGTTGTTGGGACTGAGGGTGCCTTTACTGGTAGAGTTTGGTCGCGGACCAAAACTGTGTATGGAAGCAATCCCTCGCTCGTCTCTCGCGAGGCTGGAGCGAAACCTAAGGCCAAGAAGGTACCGCCCGCAATTACTATCATCGGGCGCTCTGTCGATATGGTTTCCTCTCCTTTGAGGCAAGATTTTTTAGCTCCTGTTGAGGAGTCTCCTCAGCATACTGCGACTGCTGCCAATACAGCCGGCAAAAACCATGCTCAACTCACTCAGGCGTTTTGGCAGTCTATGTCGTTGGATGAGACTGCAGATATGACCTCTCCTTATAATACTAACGAGGATCTTGTTACCTTTAGTCCCGGCAGTATGATTTCTCCCATGATTTTCGCAACAAAGGAAGGTGTGGTGTGGACTCCACCCCGTAGAGATGCGCTCTTCCACAAGAAGGATCTGATGGATATGCCAATAAAATCGAGTGACTCTCGCGCAATGGTCATGTCACCCTCCCCTGAAGATCCGTTCTCCGCCTTTCCTTCTTTCTCTGCTGTCCTATCCATGGATCATGGGAAACAGGAGTCGATAATCGCTTATCCTCCTGCTGCTGTAACTGTGGAGTCCGCTTCTGAAAGACGATAAGTTTCTCATGGCGTAGCCTAAAGAGTCTGTGCTCGTTCGACTTTCTACTAGTCGACTTTCCGTAGTTTGTTACCAGCTTGTTGGCGTTTTCTACCAAATTCCATTCATTTGTGGGGTTTAACACAACGTTTGAAATTTGAATAAGCAGATATGAAATTACGGCTATTTTCAGTCAACGGATCTGATTTCCGCAAAACAAACTACTTATTGGCTCCTGATACAGATAGCTAAAGTACGTTCAGCGATGGTAAGTGAACAGCGAATCCGATATACGAGTGACGTCAAGAGTGCCATCTCATCTATGTACTGTAAGCTATCAATTTCTGTGGGCCGGGATAGCCAGAGGTTTCCAAAAACGTCGATATATCTCACGTTGTTCAACTTCACTTTGATTGAGTGGGACCGCTCCATCAGCTCCACACTTGTGGAGACCGAGTTTCCGTTTTCCTCCGTTTTTCGGGCGTATCCAGAATGCATTCCGTTTTTGTATGTTTTGGCTTATCGATGGAATCCTGTTTCATCGCTTTACCACCATGCCGGTGTTTCGCTATCTGTAGCGCCTGGGCCCTGGATACTATATTAATTAGTACTTCTCCTCACCGAGTCAGTGCTTGTGAGTGCCCCTTCATTTCTTGGTATCAACTTCGAATGTCGGTTACACGCTCATAAAAGCTATTTTCATAATAAAGATAGCTTGCGGGACGATCACTTTGTTGCGACCTTCCTGTCCGTGTATCCCTCATCTTAATTCTCCTGGCTCAATACACGCAAATCGAGCTCGTACTAGTCACATTCGTCGTCATGCATCCTCGACCTATTCTGAAAGCTAGGTTTTCTAGTTTCACTCAGCGCTCCCCAGTATCAGCCTCTCCGTCGTCGTCGTTATCTAACAACCCCCTTCCCTTTTACTCCGGCTTGCACACGCCTCATGTTCATTTCCCTCCGACACCGGTCATCGCATCTACACAGCCAACTCATTCCTCATCGACCTATGATAGGACAGCTATAACTGTGTCTCCGAATTCTTGCGAGCTGCCTGAGCGTGGTGGGAGGTGCTATTCACCGAGTTATGCAACACATGCTCCACGAGTGACAGTGAACAGCTATTTCGATCCTTTGGCGGGGAAGGCTTGTGACACTGCTTTCTATGACACCAGTACACCCCCACTGTTAATACCGGATCTTTCCTCGTCATCGTCTTCCGAATCTGAAGACTCCGACGCATATGGCTCTCCATTGTTCTCCCCACCCAATATACCCTTTTCGTATAGTACCCATACCTCAAACTGTTCGATACCCTCTACCTTTTCTCAGGAAGAGTTTGTCCATGCGTTTTCATTTCTTCCGCATCCTCCTTCACAGGTGAAGGACAATGTTCACCGCAGGCCGAAGTTAGTGCACAAGCAGCAGTTCTGGAAACGCAGAAAAAGTTGCGAGCCACCTACTAGTAGTAGTAGGTACGAGAGGGGCGATTCTGCATTCCAAGAGGGCAGTTTGGACGGGTGTTTGGGTGGATTCTAAATGCACTCAATATTTCAATAACAGTGTTTTACTTTGCAGCTGCTAGTCTTTCAGTTAGCACCATGGCCCTGTTACGAACATTTCATGCATCTCGTACTTGTTGCTGGGAATACATAGGCTCAGAGTAGCAGTATATCCGATGAACCGCTGTAATTCTGTTGTTAGTCTTGACTGTAACCAATAAGGAATACGGAAAAATCAGCTAAAGCCTAAAGCATAGGGGTCGATGACTATCCGGCCCGGGAACCCTTCGACCGTTCCGGAATTTTTAACCACGATCACAGTCGATTCTTCCAGACTACATTACATGGAACAACATGTAAGGACACTATGCGACGACGACGAATGAGCAAATGAGCGGGTCGCATCACTGATCCGCAGATATTCCGGTGCTCTTGGGTAAGATTTTTTTCACTAAAGCGCTAGCTAACGTTCACCATCTACGGTATCAGTCCCATGATGCATATTCATCATCTATCCCTTCTTTCTCCCGGACCGTGTATATACCCCGCACTTTCCTCAAAGATCATCCACGTGAAAGCATCTGCATCGTCACCCAATTTGCCGACCTCAGAGGTCCCCTGTACGAGGCCAGGTGATTCCCGACCGCCCCGCTTGTCCTCAAGCGTATATAACCAACCCATGTATCCGCAAAGGCTGTCAGGTCCACCGTCACTGCGTTCACCATGCACCGTGCCTTTCTATCCAGCCTATTCTTATCCTACGTGTTGCTCTTCCTTCAGAACACGCTCCCTGTCGTGTCATGGTCGACATTCATTGTCTCCCACACCGCGGGGCAAGATGATACACCTGCGCTGACTGCTGCTATAGCCAATTACAGCTCTAATTCCACGATTTTGTTTCAAAAGGGAATCACGTATAATATATTCACGCCTATCAAGTTCCCAATTCTGACCAATGTCGAGATACTGATTGAAGGGAATCTGACGTATTCTACGAACATCACAGCTATTCAGAGTGCGTTTCCCCCCTGTTGTTCCTTGGGCTTGACGCGTTAACTGCTGTTTGTTTCGTAGATATCGTGGCCTCTTCTGTGAGAATGACATTCATGCTTCATGCTGACGTAGCTGATGCCTCCTGAACCAGAAATATCCTGGAGCATGGTAGGTGAAGATTTCTCACTTTATCAAACTTTGCTTAAGTACATCACTAAATTGGCGGAAATGTTATCTAGCATCATATCAAGTATGATTTTGATACATGCATTACCGGTCCTCACAATGCCTCACAATCCATTGTGGGGTAGGTACATCACCATGAAAGATCTGTAACATGCTATAGAATTATCGCAATGGTCACCAAGGTTTATAATCATACGTATGCTCATGATATTACTATCACTTTTTTGTATCAGTATATATATACATGGCAAGAAATACAAGTTCGTATATTACCTTGCATCATGTAGGATATCCGCTCTCTTAAGTAGGAAGTAGGAGATATACAATCTACATGTTCAAATGCAATTATAAAGATTCTACGCTAAGCAGACCCATATCCATCATCCCACTGCCAGTCATCTACGTCAGTTTCATTTAAGTCATCATCTCCTTCGGGGTCACTATCGAATGACTCGTCTGAATCATGGGAAGATTCTCCATCTACACTTTCATCAGAATCTATTGCAAAAGGCTGTTCTGCTTGAGCTTGACTCGGAGGCATGGTGGTCTGATGCATCTCAGAATCAGACTCAAGCTCATCTTCTTCATCTCCCGACTCTTCACCTCGTGGTTCGTTCTCTGCATTGTCAGGTGTACTCTGGAAGAATCCTTGATTCGCAGTATGACCCACCCCACCACCAGGAAAATATCGCATGAACATGTCGCGATCCACAAAACTGATGGGGATCATTGGTGATACATGAAGCCGGAAGAAATGACAAGCACTCACATTCCGACATAGAAGAACTGCCAGTCATCAATCTCATCTGTTTTTCGAGCAGCCGTTGGTTCCGATGTCTGTAGAAGACCGGCCGTACGTCCATCACTGAAAGAGGGCATGAGATGACACCCTCGAATGATATGAGCTGGGGCAAGGAATCCAAAAGCAAACGGATCTGCTTCATCAACAAATCCGACCTTTGGGAGTCGGCCGCGTTGAAAGCCAGAGTGATACCCAGGTTCAACGCCGAGCCATCGAACCCACAAGATTTCCATCTCTTGTGGCCCTGAAAGAACGGTGCTCGCAAGCGGATGTGTTGAAATGACCTGTACCCGGAAAATGCGCAGCACCCTTGCATACCAATATGGATGTGCACCTGGCTCATCTTCAGGTGAAAGCATCATAACATCCGCATGGTTCCGAGGATTAATTGTGTCCTGATCCCTGCGGATGTCATATGTAGTATAGTTGACACGGAGTGTCTGTAGCTCGACTAATTTTCTGTCCTTGATCCGTATGTGCTTGCGATCGTCATCAGTAAAAGTTTCGTGTGTGTCGCCGTCGAATTCATGCTGCATCAAACGGCCCAAAATGTGATCCTGGAGCTTTGTCCAAAAACCCTGGTCAACAGTCATCAAAGCAACGCAGTGACCATATTCCTGAAATGAGTTACCTTTGCTGCTGGATCTCGGCTATGGGTGTAAGTCTTGAGATCCAATCTTTTCTTATTCGATTTCCCAATATGATAGTGAGTGGTGATGCTGTCGTCCTTATTCGCTACTGCCTGCTGACGACGCCGCTTTGTGTGTATTCCTCGCCTGTCAAAAGCGCGCTTTGCCCATTCAACACGTCTGAGCCGGCGACCAATTTGTCTAGGATCACGTTTCTTATTACCTAGTCCATACAATTTCTTGACCACTCGATGCGCTAACTCTCCCTGCAGCGCAACTATTATGAGTTCATTCATGAAACAACTCATGTAATCCACATACCAATTGTGTTGAATATATGTCACTTGGGCCAAACCATCGGATGAACCAAACATAGTCCATCATCGCATGCCATTTATATGTAAATAAGTTGAGTCCCTTCTTGCGACGTGTACCTGTGGTAGTCGAGGATGCAGATGTCTGAGTTCCAGAGGACTTTTTGGCTTTTTCCACACTGCGCTTGTACCGTGCAGTTGCTTCCCGATCAGTTTCCCGTGTATCAAACTTCTCGGATAGGTCACGAAATTCACGCATGAGTTTTCCCCAGTCTTGAGTGCGCGTTTCCATGTAATCTAAGGTATGATCAGTATGCAACCTTAGCTTTGCAAGCGCATGCCATTCTGCTGTTCGATAAAGAAGCTTCATCAGAACCCTATTATCAGCTTCCTCTAGCAGACCCTCGAACACGGGAATTGCACACTAAATACATACCTCAATATTATATAGAGTGTATACAGGAGTATTTAGTGCTTACCTGTATCAGGTCCTCAAAGTCTCGTGCCGCCAATCGTTTCATATCAGAGGCATTGTTTGCAAAAAGCCGTATAGTATCAAATCCAAATGTAGGGATTTGACGGAACCTGGTTTATGTGCACCATATTTTAGTTTGACAATACGAGAGTTAGGTGAAGCCCGGATATACTTCGAAAGATTACCAAAAAGCATATATATAGGCCATAACTTGGCGGTTCCGAAATTAGCAAGCTGCGTCGCATCTGACCAGCACATCAGAGCAGCAATAACTTTTTCGCGCTTGCAATTTGGGTCATCGGTGGGAGCTTGAAGGACACGATAATGTTCCTGAATGAATGCATCCGAGTTGTAGACATCGGTACGAACACGTTGGATATCTTCATCATCCGAGCTTTCTGAGGTTTTCGAGGTTTGGAAGAGGCGAAACGGGGTGTAATGGAATTGATTTGCGAGGTGACTAGTGAAGGCGGCATGTATGACAGAGAGCGGTTTTCGGTATAGCAGACCAGGAATGGAAAACTTCTTCGAAGGTATGTTTTTGTCACCAGATGGAACCTCGATATCTACCGAAGTTTCTAAGAACGAATCTTTGAGCTTGTTGTGATTGCAGTCTTCATCAGCCTTGGTGATCTTCGCATTAGCTGTTTGTGCAGTGTATCCCTTCAATTCAGCGACTCGAAATTCCGGGTGTTGGATGATGTCAGCAAGTTTCTCCATTTCGCCATTGGATTTTGTCGAGTTACCATTATTCTGCCATCCAGTTAGGAGAGTTTGAGTCGGGTTGAGAGGGGTATCACTATCCGAGTTATCTAAAGCGCCACCATCCTCATCACGATCTGGCTGGGATGGCAGGTTTGACATATCTTCAATACTCACTTCGCCATCAGGATCATGCGAAGGCTTATGAGGATACTCGCGCCACAAGCCGAACGAGTTCAGTCTGGTTTTCAGGTGTTCCCTCACACGAAGGATAACTCGTCGTCTCAATGGCACCCGCTCTTCTATTTGAGGTTCTGTATTAATGATGGCAGCAGTTCCTTCGGGAAGAACATCCTGATATCGAGCAGGGAGCCGTCGATTCCGTCGAGGTCTCAGAGTCTGGGTTAGCTCACCCATCTCTATTTGCACCGGCTCCAATCCAGTATTAGCTGCTGGAGCTAACCGTTCTGCAGGTACCACTTCGTTTCCGGTCGGCCCCAACAGCAGAGAGGTTGTACCACCAGTTACGAGAGTCTATACATAGACGTCCAATCGATATATGTATTTTCATAGAAAACCAAAAGTAACTTACATCACTAGCAGATTGACAATTTGTGTTCATACTGTCAATCCGACTAGAACTTGCCATGGAAGACATCGAGGCCTCTGAAGCCTACATATATCTCAAACGGTGAGCTTTAATCATCATTGAAAATTATTCCACTTACATGGAAGGTCGCATTAGGTTTCTTTGCAAGGCGGGCTTTTTTCTTCCTTCTAGCGATAGCCCTGATAGTAGCAACATCGTGATCGCTACCACTAGCTGAGCCATTGCTAGAAGGAGAGTGACGGCGCTTAGCTACTTGAGTCTCGATATGCCCTTGCCAAAGCATACAGGAGTTTCGATGCAAAGTTGCTGAACGCTTGCTTGGCCAGGGACCGGAATCACATGCAGGAGCGCATAAGTAGGGAGTCATAGCAGATCCGGGGGTGTATAGACTCGGGGTCCAAGTCAGTACACGGAAATTGGTCACTTCGGAGTCAGTCAGAGCAACCGTAATCTCGTTCGTTTCAACGAGAACTCCAGGAAATAAGAAGAAGAGAAAGATGAGTGAGCAAATTTGACTCAGCCACTGGGGCCAAGACGACATAATGTTACGGTCTTTGCAGTATTCCGATAGGTTTGTGGCAAGTGTAAGTTTGAGTTCAAGCTATCGCGGGCCGAGGATAGGATTAACTTATTGATTTATTGTGGAAATTGGAAATTTGTACTATGCGATCACTAGTAACCAAAGCACCCTGTCAACTGGAAATTAGTGGAGCAACAGGTATATAAGGCAAACCTCAAACGTACCCTTTTTTCTTCCTACCTTTCACTGCTCAATGCCGCCTGACGAAAATCACAACTATAGTCCTCCATCTAGCCGTTCAAATGGCCATCATCCCAGTTATCGTAACCGTCATGGCCGACATAGTAGTAATGGCCATGATCGGGGTGGCACACAAAACGCTCCGCGAGAACGCTCACCAAACGCTCCGCGAGAACGCTCTCATTCTCCATCACATCTCCAATCCTCGGCACGTTATTCAAGTGCAATAGCTGACCATCACGAAGCGGAAGTAAATGACCTTCGTCGTCAAGTCCTAGCCTTAACGAATGCTAAGAAACCTTCAGATGAAGGTAAAAAACGAAAACGGCTGTAAGTTGACTACCTTATTTTGCTCCTTAACATGATGAGCTTAGATCCCTAGTCCAAAAGGATCAGAACCTACACCGCTACAACACGGACGTGCTATACCACGACGAGTCACTGTTTTTGATGATCTTCATACCATTCAGAGTCAGTATGATGCTTATCGTCGAAATGGGTTTCACAAGCCTCCACCTGATGATAACGATGATGTTGATGAGCTTGAGGAAGAACTTTCAGAAGAAGAAAGAGCTGAGAAGCGAAAGTAAGCCCATTTGTATGTACTATTTAGAAATGATCTCTTACTCACATCGTAGTATGGAACGCGGATATACTGCCATCAAAGAGATGGACCACGTTGTGCCAAATTTCATCAAGCGAGTGGGGGAGGAAGGTGGCCAGGCTTTAATCATTGAGGTATGATTCATATTATTCTGCTTGCTATGAGTTCTGATGGATTTTTCGTTCCAGCTTGAACGCGGTGCTGACAGTGCTAAGACCCATGATACCCAAGCTGCCACCAGGATTGTGGGTCAAGAGCTGAATCGGCAAGTGCGAAAAATCAACGAGGCTAGAATAAAGGAACATGAAGAGGAAATCCGCCGAGTCCAAGCTGATACTGAAGCTATGTTGAAAGAACACGCAGCCCAACGTGAGAACAATGCAGACGACAGCTCACATGATACCGCGGTTTCTCTTCCACTACTTCCACTGTCGGTTCCTCCCCTTGTGCTCCTTCCAGAGTTTGATGAAGGTTCTCGCAACAATCGCGGTCTAGAGAACGATATGACTGGAGGCCTCCTCTGTCCAGGTGAAATTGACTGGAAGGATGATATGTACGTCGTCTCCCATCTTTTAATGAACACCACTCATAGAAATGACAGTGTCCGCGCTGCTGTACAGCGTATGGATCCCGAGTATGACTTCGCCAGCTCTGCCCATTCACTCTGCTTCTATAAGGACCAAAAATTCACTCTCGATGATCCAGACAAAGGTTTTCTTCAAAGTCATTGGTTACTTCAAGTACGTTTCTGTTTCATTCTCATTATCACTGTTTATGACTAAACACTGGTCATGAAGATGTATCGGACCATTTTTACTTCACCCTCATCAGCGAAAGGGCAATCTGAAGACGTCGAAAATCTCCCGCCTTCAAAGAAGAAGAAGAGTTTGAAAAGCCATCGCGCGCATGTTGCAAATATCATTCATATGACCGAAGTTACACCGCGGTCTATTGCTTATGCGGCTGTCCATGTGAGCAGCTGTTTCGAATTTCTATCTCTACTGACGGCAATCCTTCAGCTTCATATTGCTCTTACAGATTCATCACATTGGACTCATTCTTATGATGGCTACAACTATCAAGACCTGTGGAATTTCGTCGTTGACTTTTTTGAGGACCCTGTTGATGAAGAGGCAGAGAAGCAGGGAAAGGAGCTGCTCAAATGGTGGACTGAGTGTGTATTCAATTTTTTCACTTCGTCATTCTCTTACTTATGTTTGCTGGAGTCGGATTTTCACAGGCACTGGTTCTGCTGCCAACAGCCGTGGCACCAAAATGGTCTCTCGTCGGCAGGTTGTAGTAAAAAAACAAGCAGCTAAATCTTTATCTCCTTTGCCTTCCTCGCCACTTGCTCCTCTGTCATCACCTGCATAATTATGTATCCGAACTATGTTTACGCCCTAGTAAAATCACAATGAACTAGAATTATCTATCTCTTCGAAGATGTTTCGTGAATTTTCGTACATCAATCAATCCAAGATTCGTTCAGTATCTACTGGTTTCCGACCCGATATCAGTTTGCTTCTATGTATATCATTGCAGGAGTATATTACCTGTTGTTGATATTATGCTCAAAGCATGGAGTTAATATGGGATTGCCTGTTCACTATGTTGAGAATGGAAGAATATGAAAATACTATAATACTATATAAGATATATGGGATAGCACAATAATATTATATCATTATTCTGAGGGTTGCGAAAAGTGGTGGTGCGATGTAATGCGCCATATACTACTGCGGGGTAGTTGCAATTTCATATTAAGATTACAACGACCTTATCCCTTACAATACGTTACATCGGCCCATAATATTTCCGTTTATTTGGCACCTGGAAAAACATCGCATTTTATAACGTCCCATTTCCCGTATGGCTATTGTTCCCTGACTATGACTTTCTCTGTTGACGTATCAACTTTGAATTTTCATAAAAGATCTATGTTACTCAGAAGTGAGCATTATTTACTCTTCTCTTGACGGCAAATTTCGCCTGACAATGTTGATGCAGCTATTGGGATCAAGAGGTATATATCAAGGCTTTTGTACTCGCTATGCATACCAAGTGATATCCGCGCGTAGGATGGCGCCAAACCAAACTCAACCACACTGAACAACACTCACATCGAGGACTTCTTGTTCGAGAATTTCGTCGGAACTGTCAGGGAGTGAGTGGTACACGGTGGCATGTACACATCCCCTTATCTCCTCTTCAATACAGTGTCCCATACGTCGAAGGTTCTTGCGTCACCGACCCATGTTGGTATGCAGTCACCAATGCTACCGGCAAGGAAGTTATCATCTTGGACCTTTACCCCAATACAAGTGCGTCATCGGTAATTTCGTTGGCGAAGCGGGCCATATCAAACCACGCATTTTTACTCACTTATCACCGTAACGTCATTAGCATCCAATATTCTGGCAAAAGACATTTTCGCAAAAACGGAGACGGGTGCACGAGTAGCTGCCATGTGTGATCCTACAACGGTACGTTCTTTCGCTGCTTTATTGTTGGTATGATGTGAAATTCTTGTACGTCTTCTAGATATCCAACGATGTCGGATTTGTCTGTCAAGACGGTCCTTTCATTCCTACGAAAGCGGGTCTGTGATATTCCCTAGGTTAAATTACGTTCCCTTCCTGTAAAATACTTTATCCTCCTTTACTTACTGTACTTCCTCAACCACACAGCGTAAATAAATATAAGGACCAGATGGTCGAATGTATTCATAGACTGAAGAAGAGGATCTTACTAAGAAAGTCATACAACATGTAAACGTACACGAGGAGGCATGTATCTACCGGCGTACCAGGAAGAGTCAATCAAATATACAAAACAATAGATGGGAAGAAAGTAATAAGGTAAGTCCAGCCTTTGAACAGCGAACATATATTGTTGTTCAATTAAGAGCGCTCTCCGCGAAGACGCCTAGCAAGGGCAAGATCTTTGGGCTGGATGGTGACACCTGTAGTGACCGCAAAATTAGTACGAATGAAACTGATGGTACACAACAATACGAACGTTTAGCGTGAATGGCAGCCAAATTGGTGTCTTCGAACAGAGATACCAGGTAGGCCTCAGCTGCCTCCTGAAGGGCCATGACGGCGGACGACTGGAAACGAAGATCGGTCTACATAGATCGAACATACATTTGAGTACACTGCACAACAGAGAGCAATAACAACAACAACAAACCTTGAAGTCCTGGGCGATTTCACGGACGAGACGTTGGAAAGGCAGCTTCCTGATGAGCAGCTCAGTCGACTTCTGGTAACGTCTGATTTCACGAAGAGCGACGGTTCCAGGCCTGAAACGATGGGGTTTCTTTACACCACCAGTGGCAGTCTGAACGTGGGAGAATTAGTCAATTGAGTGGCTATGCAATGCGGGCGCGCCAGTGGCAACAACGACGACGTACGGCGGCGGTTTTGCGAGCAGCCTTGGTAGCTGAGAATTGCACATAAACATCAGAGTAGAAGATTGAGACATGGATACAGACCTAGTTGCTTTCTGGGAGCCTTTCCTGTGAAAAGTTAGTAAGCCCAGCCCAAAAAAAAAGCCAGCAACGCCAACGACGACGAACCTCCAGTGGATTTACGAGCAGTTTGCTAGAAGGAACACTTGAATAAGAATGAGAGGTATATAGCAAAGAGTGGACGAACTTTGGTACGGGCCATTTGTGCTGGAAAGAGATTTCAAAAGAGTTGCTTGAGGAAAATTTCTGGTCGGATGATGGGAGTTGGGGAACAAAGGGCGTAAAAATCTAGCGTTTTGGACCGTCAATTCGACGGAAGATGTGCACGTGCCATTGTCTCAGAATACTCACGCACAGATCTCGAACCGCGGGAAATGGAAATGGAGCCTCTTTTTCGTTGGAAGATTGGTATTAATTTTCTGCAGCCTTTTCTGCTTCATTTTTTTCGCCTATCTTTCTTCTGCTGGTAGAATATGCTATTTACTCTCTGGAAATGAATTTCTTGCGGTTTTATGTATTTTCTTGGTTCGTAAATAAATCCCAGGGATTTGAAGCGTTTTGTAGCACAGCCACAATGCTCTTCCGTTTTCGTCAATCCGATCAGCCGTTTGGTGTATCTTCGCGCCATAAGGATTTTGAAAACAAGAAGAATTCAATGCGGGGTATGCTTGAGTGTCCACAATGGAGGCTCAAATATTCACTTGCCACGGGATACGGTTCTACGGCTAGTACGCCACTTAATTTCTCCCAGTTTCTCCCTTTGTACGAGATTCCCTTTTTGAATCTACATGATGCATGCTGATATCCGTAGCAATTTGTGGTTCAAACCAGAGCTTTAGGAACAGGGAAAACCATGCCGCTGTGGATCTTGTCGAGTTTAGTCGCACTTCGAGTTCGTGTGGGACTCTATACCCTTGAGCTATCCTCAGCAGATTAACTTGGAAATGAAGACCAAAAAGACTGATAGAAGCATCGTGCTAGGGGTTCGTGGCATTAAGCCTCAGAGTATATGTAAGTATATGTAGTCCATCGACACAGGTAGATTCTGGTAGATTTTTTCCTTTGGTTTTCAATATAGTAATACATCCATGACGACAAGCCGTAATAAGGAGCTGAACCGAATGAATTGATATCATCATAACGATTAATGAGGGCGTTTGAAAACCATCACAGGGTACGCATTATAACCCAGTTCACCTCCTTCATATGTCTTGTTCTTCGGCGGCTTCCCATTCTTCCCCTCCTCCTCCACCACCTCAACTGAAAACACTGCCGTGCCCTTCATCTTCTTATCTTCACTTGCCGTTTCTTTAAAATGAAAGGAGTCATCCGGGGCTTGTTGAAACGTTGAGGCCATCACCTCCTTCATGTACTTCTGGATGGCTTCTTTCATACAAGCTTCTCGGTCCGATTCGCCGATTATTGGCATCACATCGCTGGGGTCGTAGACAACGGTCACGTTGTTCACCGGGAATGGCCCGTGAACTTTCTGAAGAATGCGGGATTGAGGAAGGTCAGATTATTGTCATTCGTTCAAAGGATTTGGTAACTGACTCTGCGAACAACAGGTGCCGCATATGCAAAGGACACTAGCGCAATGGTGGTGAGATAGGCAATATCTAGACGCATGAGGGGCAAGCTCGAATAATATCTGCGGGTATCCCTTGGACAATCACGAAAAGTCACACGAAGGGAAGTGACGAACTCAGACGGCGATGAGTTGAGAATGAACGACGGCTTGATGACGAGAGTGGAGGGAACTATGGAAATTGAATTGGGCAGGGAGCTCAGGCGCAGCCAGCTATGAAGGTAAACTGTACATACTAATACTAGATAGCTTGAATTGCGGGAGGTTGAAGAACAAGACTCTCGGGCGATAAAGGATGAGGGTTGGTGTTTAAACGACTAGCGTTGGATGAACTACGAATCAGGTTAGCTGAGTTCGTCTGCAGCAAATGTCGGTTAGTATGTATACTCACAAATCACTTTCTTCGACCAGCAAAGAAAGGGAGGGAAAGTAAGTGGAAGGAGAAAGGCTTTCCAGTTTGTATTTGGAATTGTCAGGTAGCATTTATAGTAGTCATAAAGCCATTTTAGTGTAGCGAGTCTGGCCGAACTCTGATGTTCAGATTCGTTCCTCCCTGTTCCTCCCTGTTCAGTTCTCGTTTGGCACGTCGAGGGAACGTCAGGGAACGTCCTTCCTTTGATTCTAATTGACACCCCTGACAGATCCTGATAGGTCCTGATGCAGAACTCATATCTGGTACAGGAAGGGTACAGTACAGGGAAACACAAGCATGCGCCGTCGGAATTTGTATGGTTGTTGTATCCCTCCATAGGACAACCAATGTCAGGGAAGGAGCGAGCTGAGCGGCGAGTCCTCCCGCAGGAAAAGCGGATAAAAAATTATGAACATTCAATGGTTTGATCTCCCCAATGCTTGAGTTTGAGCTGTATCAAGCAAGAGCGCGTCCCAGCGACAGCAGTGGTTCAATATCAATGCTGAATAATTGTCATACCACTGCCAGTAAGTGAGATACTGTATTCTTTATTTAGGTGTCATCAGTCGATTTTAATTACCAGAATACGCACCCGTTGGACGCATATAATCTATTCTCGAAAACAAACAGCAACGGCTGTCCGACGTGATTCCTATCTGAAGTGGAAAGATGGAAGAAGACCGACGCTTGAATACACAACGAGTTTCGTTCGATTCATCTAGTTGGACACCACAAGCTCGGGTTTAGGATAGACGGAAAAAATCCTACTTGATTCTCGTTTCGCCTTTTTGGGCAACTAGGAATGAATCAGTGACGAGTCAATCGTCTTGGGTTTATGAGCTGAAGTCCCGGCAAGTCCACAAGTTTGCGCTTCTCGTTTATGCTCGTTCTAACATTCTCCATCCCGGATTCTTCTTGTATCGATACCGTTGACCTCGGCGATTTATACACACAACCACGTATCCGCGCATTCTTGTGAATATTGCCTTCTACTACCGCGGCTCAATACTTGCAGACTCTTTCTTGATCGGGTCAAAACACTCTTCGCGAGCTTGGGCGTGAGTCACGAAGGGAACACTACCTACACATTACTGGGTATTCTGTTCTATCCTAGGTGCGTGCGGTGCAGTAATTTTTGAAGTTGAGGACGTTGGGGACGTGTAAAATGGTCTCCCATTCTCTCCCATTCCGAATGCACTCCGGGCGCGTGTACCTCGGGTCCGTCAGCAGAGCTTAGAAATTAGTAATCAGAAAGAATGATTGAAGCATCACAAGGGATATCTGCAGTCGAAATCTAGTTATGTATCGGTTACGCCAAGAGTACATATATATAGTTCACAAAAGAAGTACGTGGTTGAATATGTTTTCTTGAATTCATCCTCCCAATACTGCAACACCTTCAAGAATATGCGGGTGGGTATTCCAGTGCATTGAAGTCATGACAAGTCAAGTACATAGTATCAACAAGCCGGACAACAAACAAAAACCCATCCACGTGTTTACTTTGGCTCTTTGCTAACAAACATACGGTTCGTATCAATCTTCAATTCCCCCCCTTTGTAGGTTTTCGTCTTTCCTTTCTTCTCCTCTACCTCAAGCGTAAACTTTGCCTTGTCCTTGTCCTTCAAGCCGGTTGTTTCAAATTGGAAAGCCTCATCGGTGACTCGTGTAAACTTTGGAACCATTGCATTATTGATAGCTACTTTCATCAGGAGTTGAGCCGCTCCACTGTCCCCTTGGTCCACCATGAGCCCCTCAGGGTCGTAGGTGACGCTTACGCGTATCACCTTTAATGGATCGGAACGTAGTTGTAGGCTGGTAGCCTGAAATACAAGTTAGGTATAATCAGGTTATAGCCGTTTGTCAGAAGGAGAATTTAGTGACCGACCTCACGAGGAACAGGGACCGCATATGCAAAGGACACCAGCGCGATGGTGGTGAGGAAGGTAAGATTCAGACGCATAAAGGGCAGAGGGGCAGGGCTCGAATAACGTCTACGGGCATTCGTTAGACAGTACGGGAGGGACGGAATTGACATGATTTACTTTGATAGGTAACAAGGAAGGACTCGGACACCGCGGATACTGGGCTTGTCGATGAGGGTTGGAGGAACTATGAAAGGAAAGACGGGTCATAAAGGAGCTCTAATGCGAGTAAAATTTAGTTGTACATACAAGGAAAGGGAGAATCACTCGAGTCGTGGGAGGGTTTAATGACGAGAGATTCGGTGAATAAAGACACGAATTGATAGCGGTCAACGACCAGCGTTGGATGTAGAACTGCGAGTCGTAGCTTAATCAGACTCATCTGTGGCAAATTGTCAGACGGTATGTGTACTCACCAGAGGGCTTAGAAAATTTCTTTCTTTGACCAGCAAAGAAAAGGAGGGGGTGGGGAAGGTGAGGCGGGTGAAAGGCCTTCTTTTGTATGGGCTTATTAGTCATTGTCGCGATCAGTATTAGCCGTATTCAAAGGAGGTTAGTGTACTTTACCTCAGCCTGGTACATAGCGTCCGCTGTCAGCCACTATCGACCGACGGATTTTGATATTCTTCCGAGTTCAGGTCCTACCTTTCCCTGCATCTCCCTGCATCTCCCTGCGCCTTCCTAAGCCTCCCTTTATCCCTATCATTCACAGTCAATTCACTTGATTCCGATTCATATATAGAGCACAGGAAATTAAGGGAAATTACCGAGACAGGAAAGTACCGCGTAGTACCTGGAAGAAAATTGGGATCCCTGTGATCAGACGTTCCGTTGGAATTTGTATCTCCACAGGAGAGTGGAGAGCTGTGGAGAGCAGGTGAAGAGCGATGGCCTGCGACGGCAAGCGATGGCTCGTGCTTACAAGTGCTGTAAGAATGGGTAAGCCCAAAGACGACCGGCGTCTAAAAACCCGTTCTACGTTTCAACTTTCAACGCTCAATCTCACAGCTCAGGCCAACTGCCTCTGAGTATTAATGGTTAGCAGAATTCTCGGAGAACTGCACAAATCTCCATTATTGCTTCGGCAAGGAAGTGAATTCGCAAGTCCACAGTATGAGTTTGAGCGCCGTGAACACTGAAACATTTAGCTTTTTGTGCTTTTCTGTATTTTTTTGTCAATCCACACCGCCGTTACCTGATAGATATTTGAATTGCGGAGTACCTTTCAGCAGAGTGTACATGCGATTGTAAGCCACTGCACATCTGTGCATGGCAAAACTCGGCTGGTTGTTTTACAGCGTGTTCGGAAAATGATGACAGACGCGATTTTTTTTTTCCTCAAAAAAAAAAATAAAAAAAAAAGGTACTCGAGCTTATGCGTCGGATACTGCACATTTGTATGAGATTTTTACCTGATCAGCCAGGGAAAGATGCAGCAGGCATCTGTAAAACCTGTATTTTCGGCTAAGAGCTCGAAAGCAGCTGACAGCAGTGTCCAGCTGGGAGTGCTTTCAGCGCTGGATAGCGCTCTCCAGTTAGTACCCTTGCTCTCGCGAACATCCAGGTTTTGCAGATGGCCGGGCATCTGCAATGATAGCACAAAGGTCCAGGAGGGGTGTGGGGTGTCTGGAACTACTTCAGCTCATCCTAGTGATTATTTCTGGAGCTCTAGGAACAACCTCTACTTGTATATAGCCATTAGATATGGGATAGTTTTCAATAGCAATCAGGACAACATTAAGTGCTTTCTTGTTTGGGCAAATTTTCTTCGGTAGCCGACGCGTACCTTTTTATTTTATTTTATTTTATGGGCTGATGAAAGTTTCGCAATTGTCATCATTTTCCGAACACGCTGTAATTTGGTTGTATAGAATGAAAAATAATAATAATAAACATAATTAATTGTTAGATCTGGAATAAATCACAGCAGAGGCGTTGAATAAAATGAGAACGATATGTTTGGGAAACGAGATCCGGCCCCATATTAGTTGCTTCCTTGAGGTAGTTTGAATGATACTTACCGAGATGAGCATGTGTTACTGACTCAAGATGATAGAGAGAAGGATGGGACGACAGCATAGAGATACACAAGTTTGAGGAACCTAGTTGTTGGCAAATGAACCAGAGTGATGCGAATGGAATTTTTGAGGTAATATTGCATATGCAAGGAGTACTCAAGGATAAGAAACTTCCACCTATTCGCAGTGGACTGTGAGTGGTATAATTGAAGTAACAGGTGATTTACTTACCAGTGTCGGCCAGCATGAAGAAAAGACTGCAACACCTATGACAATCCATCACCGTGAGTGGATTGGGGATCCTAAACTTCGCGAAGGATGTAGTAGACTCCACGTATGACATGCACACCCTCTTCTTGCAGCACATACCTGGCCTGAAGATAATGGCCATGAAGGGCACAACGGAATGACCAATGCTCGAGATGTTGAACAGGATATTCACTCCAAAGGTAGAGGCCCCATATATGAATCCAACCACGGTGAATCCGGAGATGGACAAGAATGCCTTCATCAAGAGAATGAATGCAACAAATGGAATGTTTGTATATGGAGAGGAGAATGTAGTACTCTATGGAGAAGAGTGGATAGATGCTACTGGACACAAAAAGTAAGTAAGGTTAGCATCACACAAAATGACTTGTAAGACTAAACTCACTGATTTTGAAGAACTGTCCGCATACCACCTCAGAGACTGCACGTGGGTGATATAGTATATGTTGCCTTCAGTAGGGTCACATTTGGAAGAGGAAGTGAGTTGAAGGCAAGATTATTACTTGGCAATATTACACTTTTGGATGCAACTCACACAAAAGTGAGTAAACATAAAGGATTGATCGAAGAAAACAACTGACTTTGCACAGAAATGGCTCAAGGAAAAGGTTAAACCGCAGTCCCTGAATATCAGAATGCAGCCAACCCTCAAGTGACGTCTCGAGTTTGAAGATGATGAAGAAGATGCCAGGAAATGAATGAAGGGAATGAATATTGAAAACGACAAAAACAATGATGAAAGGGAGGGAACGTGTGAGTAGTAGTGTGTGTTGACAGTCATATGGAAGGCATAAAGAAGGTATCACATTTGAAGCAAAGAAGCTAAGTGGCACGTAGGATGAACAGTCACATAGTCATGGTGGTGTCTATTAAGGTCTCATGCAAGTCACATTTAATCAATTCAGTTCAACTCACTGTTACATTTGGCCAAATAAGGCAAAACTACAACCATAAAAGGAAATTATTTTTGCATGGAGTACTGTACATAAGGACAATACTTCCAAGTAGTCTTGAGGAAGTACACCGCGGATACTGAATGAGGGTTAAACAAACAACTACAAAAAAAGGGTTGGTCGGGGAGGTACAGCCAGCTTTAAAGGAAGACTGTGCATACTAGATAGCTGGAGTCCTTAGAGGGTTGAACAATAAGGGTTTCAGCGATTGAAGACACAAATTGGGGGTGGGTAAACAACCGGCGTTGGATGAACTACAGGAGAAATTAGATAGGTCTGTTTGCAATGAATTGTCAGCATGTGCGCTTACAAGTCACTTTCTTTGACCAGCAAAGAAAGAAGGGGGAAGAAAGTGGTGAAAGAAGAAAGGCTTCCTGTTTATTGTAAAATTTGCAGGAGGCTTTTATAGTCAGTAGTCTCGTTACTGGATTTTGACCTTTTGTTGATTTTTTTCTCTATTGATATGGACCTCTCCCTATCTCCACATGATGCTCAAGTTTCAAAAAAGTACATATAGAAAATATAAGCAGCTGATAGGCTATGTACCATTCAAAGCAGAAATGGATAATGTCCTATAATGTCCCCAACTGGCAATGCACTATAATGTGTCCGGTCGGGATTTGTATCATCATAGCATTATATTATTATTGTGCCTGCCAGCTTTGAAAAGCCAGGGAAGTTTGAAAACATATCCTGTAGATGTTTCTCCTTTCTTATTACTGTATCTATGCTTTGGGATTGCATTATGAATACCCAAAATACCTAGTTTGTGCTTTTTCTGTGAGAAAAACAGTTGAGATGTCATTGCATAAACCCTTTGGACTGTCAGGTTTGCAAAATTCTTGAGAATCACTTTATTTTATAAGCATAATAGCTTAAAGTACTTAGAAATGTGTATGCATGTGTGAATGAATATGCCTTCCATAGTTCAGTGGAACACATTTTCTGAAGTTATCCGGGGCAATATTCAAGGTTGAAGAGGTTGAAGATGGAGATGTGTGACTTTTTGTGACATTCTCCTGCAACTCCTGCATCAATTTCAGTGGCAAATTGGTGACATTTGATGTGACTGGTTTTTTTAAACACCCCAGGCGCGAGATGGGATCTCTATTACTCTCAATGAAAACAAGTTTTGGTAGTAAAAAGTAGATGTAATGCATACTAATATGTCATGCTATAAGTCTACCAAAGCCGAGAATAATACAACTATTGTAAAGGCATTTTCAAATTCCACTGGCATGATAGTAGGGAAGGAGAGGACTAGAGAGAACTGGGAAGAGCAAATGTGAGAACCCAGTGAGAATCAATGTTACATTGATAACTTGGTAACCCATGAGCTGTGCTGACAATGATTAACATCAATGTGTGTTTGTGAGTGGAAGAATATCGGTACCCAAAGACAACTTGCACTTTGCCAGCCAGTTTATGCTGATGATCTGTTATCTCTGTCAATAGTGTATATTGTATATCTTGCATTTCTTCACTGTGACTTGCAACTCAAATGCTGAAAGACCTTCAAGATGAAGGCAGAATTCTTGGCGTTGCTTTTTCCGGATTCTTTTTTGGTGACTGTTAGCCTAGGCTTCACCTCTTATTTTGCTTGTTCTTCCTGAACAGACTAGACCAGACTCTCCTTCATCTGAACCTCGTTCACCTTACAGCTGAGTTCATTATCCATCTGGAACTCGAAAATTTTGAAAATACTGTGGCTATGCAAAAAATCATGTGCGTGTGAGCCTGCTGTTAGAATATAATCACGTTATATTCAGCAGCAATGGCAGTAAGAGATAGAGTGCACACAGCACTGTAGTTGATCACACAGATCAGACGATGAAGGAGTAGAGAGGACTGCTTGTTCAATGAGGTGAATACTCCAAGTTTATATACAAGTACAAGGTAGACAATGTCATGTTACAGCTAAACATAGCGAGAGAGAAAGGAAGTACAATATGATGTATCCTACTGGTAGTCCTAGAGTAATAGTACACGGTGGTCAGATTGATAACATGATAGTGAGATAGTAGTTAGTAATATGAGAACAATGTTCCATAGATGGTATGTGAGTCATCAAATGTTAACACTCCCCCTCAAACCTTTATTAGTCCCATGGACGCAGCGGAGTGTTTGGCCTTAAGAGATGGAAGCGCCTTTGTAAAGATGTCTGCAGTCATGTCCTCTGTAGGGCAGTAAACAAGGCAGATCTTTCCTTCTTCGATGACATATCAGATGAAATGGTACCAAATGTCAATGTGTTTGGTTCGGGCATGGAAGCAATCATCTTTAGCAAGAGTGATGGCAGATTGGTTGTCAGCTTTGAGAATGATTGGTTTTGTGATAGGGCCAAAGAATTCCGATAAGAGGTTCCTAAACCAAATTGCTTCCTTGGCAGCGTGAGTCAAAGCAATATACTCAGCTTCCGTGGTTGATAATGAGATGGTATCTTGTCGCTTGGATGACCATGACACTGCTCCTCCGTTGAGTATAAAAACGTATCCTGAGATAGCATGTCTATCCTCCTGGGACATTCCGTCAGCGTCCGTGTATCCTTTGATTTCTGCTTGTGTTCCTCCGAATGTAAGCCATAGGTCTCGGGTGTATTTGAGATATGCATGCATAAACACGCTTTACAGCATTCCAGTGAGTAATTCCGGGGGTTTGCAAAAACTTTGCCAGTATGCCGACTGCATAAGTAATGTCGGGTCGAGTTGCTACTGATAAGTATTGTAGGGCGCCAACAGCTTCTCTGTAGGGCTTGTCGCACATGTATGTGATATCCTCAGCGGTAGTTGGCATCTGGTTCTTGGTAAGATGTATGTGTGGATCGAATGGGATGGAAAGGGGTTTGACATCTGCAAATCCATATTGAGATAGGATTGCGTCAATATATGCCCTTTGGGATAAGTGAATGGACCGTGTATGTAGAGATCAGCGGATCTCAATCCCTAGTAACCAGTGGATCTCTCCAGAATCGACGACTTCGATCTGGTCCCTGATCTTCTTCTTTAGAGTGTCCATTACAGCCATAGTCTTGGTAAGCATAGTCATATCATTGACATGGATGAATATGATACAAAAAGGGTCAGTTCAATAGAATACAGCATGATTGAAATTTGACCTGGTGAGACCGACTGATGTCATGATCTCCCTGAATCTCATGTACCAACAGCGACCAGCTTGTTTAAGCCCATAGAGGGCGAGCTTGAGTTTAAGCACTTGTCCTACTTTAACTTCAATGTCGACACCTGGTGGTGCCTTCATGTATTATACATTTGTTCATTGTCGTCCAGTTTGCCATATAGATTATGCCGATTTGACGTCCATCTGGTGGATGAACATGTTCTGTTCGGCTCCTGTGCTGAGAATGGCTCAAGCTGCTGCTAGCTTTGTGACTGATGCGAACATTTCATCTGGTATCTGGTTAAAACCTTGTACCACTAGTCTGGCTCTGTGGCCTGTGACTTTTCCTTGTTCATCGCGCTTGGTCCTGAATACCCATTTCAATGTGAGGATGTTGGCATCATCAGGTGGAATGACAATATCATATGTCCCGCACTGTTGTAATCTTTGGATTTCCTCATTTATGGCTTCCCGCCATTGAGACCAATTGGGACGTCGCATTGCTTCTGCAACTGATGTGGGGTCAGCAATGATTTCACCTGTTACTTGACCAAGTGATGCTGTAAGATGCCTGAGCTCTTGGTTTGGCTCTCCAAGTCCATTGATGAAGTCCTGGATTTTCTTGGTCAGCTTCCTGACGTGTTTTCCTGTGATTATATCTGGGTTGATGGGTTCAGCTATTTCCTCCGGTACTGGTATGATAGGCTGGTCCGACTCAGTGACCAATGTTTCCAGATTTCCCAAATCCTGATCCTCCCCCTCAACGGGTGGGATCTGCCTATCAGAGAATTGCACATTACGTTGAGACTGTGCGGCAATCTGGCCAATAGATGAAGTAACCATTGGACTCTGGCTCAATGCCTACCCATCGTCCTTCCTGCACTTGAGGGTCAAGCTTCCCAGGCTCCTTTTCACGTTTAACATAGACCGTGCTTCCAAAGATGTGGAAGTTGGAGATGTCGGGGATTGTGCCAAATCGTTTCTCCCATGGAGAAATCATACCATTTGCCTTCTTTGGTGTCCTGTTCCATACATACACTGTGTACCCCATCATAAATCCCCAAAGCCATTTGGGCAATCCGGATTATATCATGAGGCTGCGTACTCCATTGAGTAGCGTCCTGTGACTGCGTTCCGCTATGCCATTGTGTTCCGGAGTGTCATGTACCGTAAGGCTATGTTTAGTGCCTAATCGTTCCAGGTATGCTGTGAATTCACCACTGAGAGATTCTCCCCCTCAATCAGAGTGGAGTTTCTTGACCATTACGCCATATTGAGTTTGGAGACCGGTTTGGAGTATTACATATTGAGCGAAAGCCTCATCTTTGCCCTTCATTAACGGTTCCTCCAACCAACTGGTTGCTTCATCGATGACTGTCAATGCATAAACATAATGATTTAGCGTCTGGACAGAAGTGTCATATGCATGCAATTCACCCATACACTTCCCGGCCCGGCCCGGAGCGGCCGGACTTCGGAGTAATTACCTTGTGACTTATTTATTATTCCGAGCTTTCATTGAGGTCTTATGACTACTGTATTTGGGATGTGTTAAGATCATGTACACCATGAAACCGTGCCAAAGC